GTCTGGAGAACGATCTTAGTTTTGTTGGCTACTATAGCGTAAATCCAATAGCATTGGCCGTTATTGTAAATGGGTGATTCGAATTGTAAAAAAAAACTATTGTGGTTACACAATAGAAACGTTTGAATTTCTATTGGGACTTTCCAACAAGATGCACAATCGTTTTTGTATCTGTTGGCTTCTAACGTGTTTTTCCAATATTATTGTATTTGAGAGGGAATAAACAAGTTTTCCATTGTGAAAATTAATTGTTGGGAATTCCCAATGTAAATGTTACGATTTATATTGTGAATTTTCAATAGAAACAAGCACCGTTTTGGTATTAGTTGTCTCCTAATGGTGTGTTATTGCTTCTATTACCTTACCTGTTGGATTTGAGTGGTTATGATTTGATGGAGAAATAGCAGCGTTTTTTGTAGTTTTCAATTGGGGAATTTGTGTAGGTATCTACCGCGCATTCGCATTTCGCATACGCAAGACGAGACGTAACCATAACCACGAATTCTTTGCGTGTATTTTTATTTCCAAGTTTCTATTTTAACGATTTCGGTTTACGAAGACAAATACCTAAACTGTAGGTAAGTGATATAATTTTTGTGTTATTTTTAATTACAATGGTCGTATTTGTTGTGTTGATTATGTACAACCTATACCTACAACTTTATAGGTTAGGTATGGCATTTCTTATTATTCCTATTATTTATTTATGAAACAATAATGTATATAATGCCAGTAGGTCATTTTATGTGGCAAAAGATTTTCGAGTAAATACAAGTCTAGTATTTTCTAGGGGGAATGTGACAAACAATTAATAAAACAATATCGATATTGTATCTTGAGCATTCCTCCGATTCCTGCTTAAGAGTTATACGACCCCATTAATGAAACATAATTGTACAGAATAGGGCTCATAGTACTATTTTTTCTGTTTCTGTTTTTCAGTGACGCTTCGAGTTTAAACAATATTAGAAGATGTATGCATATGTCATCTTCGAAGAAGACAATGTGCCACTTGTCGTGTCTATTATTAATTAATGACATAAAATTTAAAAATTCAACTTACGAAAACTATAATTCGGCAAAAACGTACAAAGTAAAATATACCGATGGTCATTTTTATAAGGCTTTTATCATCGCAGTAGCGGGTAAGTTCCATAAAAGCTTGATTGGTTTTGTTGTTAGTATGAAGGTATTTGTTTAGAAACAATGGAAGAGGTCAAAATGAAAGCCGAGGAGAAGCGTATTCGTTTGCCTGCTGCCAAACTGAGGGAGTTAAATGTTGCAAACGATGAGATTAGTTCATCGGACAATGAAAATATTCCTCTTAATACAGTGCGAGCAATAGTATTATTACACAATATAGAAAATAAATATTGAACATTACAAGAAAGCATCAAACAGTCTCTGGAAATATGAACGTAGTCTCAAATTACTAATGTTGTTACACCATGCTTTACTACATTCACATTGCCAAAGAGTCGTTTATGTTTTTTTTTAAATTATATAATATACGATATAATACAATGCGATCAAATATGAGTTGCAGTCGCGTCGCCTTTGGAATTTTTGTTTACATGGGAAATCATACTTAACTTGAACTACCAAAGGCGACTTCAATGTCATTCCTTTTTTGATCACCTGTTACTTTATTCAGATGGAACGAAATTCCACAAAAAAACAAAAGAAGAGTCAGGAGAGAGCATACCAATTAGAAAATTATCACAAAATAATGAAGTCTGTGTCAAATCAAGAAATGCCCATGGATCTGCCAAATACTATGGAAAGTAAAAATTGGAAAGAAAAATATGAAGAATTAAAAAAAGAAAACAAAGCATTAACGGAAGAAGTCCAAAAGTTAAAGGAGCTAAATATTAACTTACAAGAAGAGGTGATAGCAAAATTTAAAAGTATAGGTAAGAATGTGAAACATCTTCACCAAGATAAAGTAATCTGTCATTATATAGACTTCATGCAAAATCCGATTCCACCAATGGTAACTATGGACAGCCAAGAAACTTCCAAACCGATCCCCGATGATGTTCCAGTGGCCGGACTATATGATGGCCAAGTAAAAGTGTTTCTCATATACTTATGACAATTTTATAAAAACTAATTGTTAAAGATTCACATTGGACGAGGAGAATGGTTACCTGTAGCCATTTTTAATATGTGTATGGCAAAAAAAAAAGATTCTATCTTTATCAAAGAGATTGCGTGTTCCTTATTTTCGCCAGACGTATTATCTAAATCATCAGTGACTGGTCAACCTGGTAATAAGACCTCAAATCCTGCCAAGCCTGCATTAGACCCCACCAAACTTCTTGCAATTGAAGGTAATTGGTTAATATGTAGATTAATCATTTGAATACATGTTTAGGAATGTCACTCCGTAGATATACTCCAATTCAGAATGTTTCAAAGAGGCGATACCCCTGATCTAAAAATTATCAGAAACTGTGTCCATAAACACGTTCGTGATAAAATTCAGGACCTCATTAGACCACCAAGGGCGTCAAAATCCAAAAAATTAAATAGTCAGAGCAACCCTCAGCATAGATTGTCACCTGAGGAACCTCAAGTAGTAGAAGAGCATGTGCAGGATGCAAATATGGGTATGTTAAATATGATTTTTTTATCTTTAGTACTAATACACCTTTTTATCATTTCTAGAAATTGTTGTGCCTAATACCTTTATCACTGAAAATGCTGTAGTCCTAGTAGATGAGTTAGGAGTTGAAATTGGCCATATATAGTAACGATCAAATTTATTGAATTTCTACTACATTTGGGAATTCACAAATAACTTTTGTTTTACCAGTATCAATAAAAATACATTTAGATTCGTAGTCAGACATAGATATTAGTAGTAATTCATAGGTACTCTCTTTAACATAAAACATATGATTTAGTGTAACTTGCCCACAAATGTATGGTTGTGTGTGTAATTTTTTAACTAGCATAAATGCTTTTTCCTTGTAAAGGATAAATTCTAAAATCTCAACAAAATCTTGGCATTTTGTTTTTATAACAGCGTTACATTTTTTCGATACATTCATGTAATCATTGCTATGAAGCATAGTGTTATTATACACACATCTCTTGTAAATAAAACCATTTTCAGGTACATCAGTTTTCAGGCTATGAAGATCTTCGAAATTGTTAGTTCTTAAAAATTTTAATTTCGTTATCATTTCACTGGCATTTATAAGAGACGCTTTTCCTAACAAAATGCTTTCACCTGCAACAGTCTTTCTTTTGTAATGCCTTTTGTGGCCCACAATTAGATTATTACAGAATATAACAGAATTTTCATTAATAACGTTATTACTTTGAATACGAGGCACAAATGTATTAAAATTATATAATTTCTTAGCAATTTGCTTTCCAATTCCTTTAGGTCCTTTGATTTGCTTTTTAATATGAAAAATTCCTGACTCAAAAGGGAAAGTGCTGTTACACCAAAGTGGGCCTGTTTTTTTTACACAAACAGGTAAGTGCAACATTGTATGCATGTTAAAAGTCATTGCTTCGGGACCGTAATATTCGTTCGCTTGTTTTACAAATAAGAATAGGAGCTCTTGTGCTATATCTATTTCTGAAGGCAGTATCTTGGTTTTTAATAGAATGAAAACTGCCTGTACTAATAAGGAGAAGTGTTCAAGGTATTTCTGTTTTAAAATGTTGTTTAAACATGGCAGTGAATAATAAAGAAGCCAGTTCTTCCATTCGGAAGCTTTCCACTTACAGCGTTCTGCTATTATAGATCTGGGCGCCCTATGTATCTCATTTGGCGGCCTTATGTTGCACAGATGTTTGTTGATTGCTTGAATATCGTTAGGTCTACCAATATAATATGTGTGTTTGTTTGAGTTGCTAAATGAAATCCAGAGATCCCACAGTTGTTTCACTACACCTGAAAGGAAAAAAGATAATAGATATTTAATTTTCTGCAGTTCTTCAATTTACCTAATAAAACGCCATGCATATAATCTAGCGGAAATGACCACACAATGTCAAAGTACGGTGTTAATAAGATAGATGCTGGCCCCTTTACTCCATTAATATTAGTAACTTCATAGTTCTGAGCGTGTAACTCTCTCAAGTCTCTCATATGCAGATCGTGTGTTCTTAAAGTAGATGGAGTTTCTTCATGCACATACTTTACACGCTTGATTACACTTGTACCTGAATGGTAGCACCAACTACATCCATAATACCCATTAAATTTCAAACGATTTTGAATTACAGGTCTTGCTACTGAATCCACTGAGCAAAAGAGTGGTAGTAATTTATAAGTCTTTTCTTCTTCGTCAAACCGAACTTTTACACCAATTTCGTAAAGTTTCTTTGCCGTTACATTAAACTCATCTATAATCAAGTTCATTAAATGTACATCTGGTTCACATTTGCCAACCCAAACACCTATAAACACCAACTTATGAAACCGATCTTTTGAACAAATCTCATTAATGAAAAGTTGAACAGGCCACATTGACTTTTTGGAGGACGTAAAAATAGCAGCCCCATCTGTACTAAAGTTGTATGTCAAATCAAACTTTACTTTATTTTTTAAGTTTTTATAAACTTCACCATCATAATAGTCACATATTAAATTATTTTCTGAAGGTTTTGGATCTAATAAGACAGATTCTTTTAACAAATATTCAATCCTGGGTGTCGGATCTATCATTATGTAAACATTTTCACTATTTATGGTTAAATGATGTTCTTCCCGGCAATTTTCATTAGGACAAATGGATATATGATTTTTAAATTTTTTTTTTGTAACACTTTCCTCCAATTTTGTTTTACATTTTGTACAATAAAATGTATATTGAACAGCGCTGTCATCAGGATCGAACATTTTAGACATATAATACTTAGAGGTGTCAAATAAGTCATCATCAAGACTATTTGAACATATCTTAAGCATTTCAAATATATCTTGTTGTGCTTCATTTGTAAATCCGTGTTGTAAACTTAAGGCATATACCATACACATGACATCTTTTTGGGTAAGTTTTGCTTCTTTAAAAATATATTCTTCATTATTATTCCATAACTGTTCAAATGAATCTTCATTTGGAATATTCGTGTGGACATCGACATCTGAATTTTTCTCACTTGGGATTATATGATCATCTATAGTATTTTTTAGGTCATGTGGTTGGTTTATTTCCAAATTATCGTCATTTGCTTCATTTATATCATCACTCTGAGAGTTTTCTAAATTTTGAGCTGAGATACTTGCGGTGTCTACGCTTACCGATATGCCTAGAATAATAACTTTGTTGTGTAATGTTACTTATCGCATGTTATGTACAGCAAGATTCACAAGAAGTGGGCGTAGGTGATAAAAATAATATTTACTAACTTATACCTAGTAAACTTTGGCCCAATATACTCAATAGATACTGAGATATTGAAATTATTAGAATGTTATCTGAAACGGAAAGTTCTGTTTGTTGCAGAAATTTGCGAACAATGCTGTACAATTGACAATATTCACAAATTTAATGTGGAGTTTGAACACTTACTATCGGCTATTAATACTAAAGAGCAATAGAGCATATTATAATACCATTAGTCAACACATTTTTTGAATAGAAGTCTAAAGAAAAGCTAATATTTACTATGTATACCATGTTGCAAAGTTGAGAGTGAGAAAGTAATAAGTCTTCAAGGGCTAATGATCAATATTTAGGTACAATCAATATTTATCATCTTACCAACTTGTTTCCAATGTCGTATTGTTCTTTCACTAACTAAGGGATTCACATTTGGTACAAGGTACTGCTTATTAACTCTTTTGCGTTTGCGAAATTCTGACATTTTCTGAAGTTCTCCTAGCCGCAAAAGGAACTTTAAAACAATGAATCACATTTCTATTTATAGAATATTTTCCCTAAACTTTCTATAGGTTTTTATAGAATATGGTTGGGAAGTGGTTGAATTCTATAGGATATAAATAAGTTTCTATTGTGTATTTATCCGTAACGAATGAATCCTATTGGTATCCAGTGGACTTTCCTAATCAAATCTTAATAAGTTTCTATTGGGACAAATTTCATTGGAAATGGTTGGGAAATGAATAATTTGTATGGGAATGCTGATTGGAGCGTATTATATTGTAATGTGTAATGATTGGGTCCTATTGGCACATAACGGAATTCCCAAGTCATATTTTTATAAGTTTTGATGGGGTAATTCTCAATGGCAATATACACATATTGGTGCCAATAGGACCCAATAAAAAAATTTATTGGTTCCTATAAGGCATTTACAACAGGTGCAACCCTTAACAACGACGATTTAATAAACCATGAAGTTGTAACAACAGTCAAGTTTGAGAATAATGGGGCTGTAACTCGCGTTAAGAGTGATTGCAAAGTTAAAAGTGAACTGCAGCAGGAAGACGAGTTCACCTCATATTTCATTAATCAGCCTCTTCTGTTGTACGATGAATGTATGGAAGACAAAAGTAACGTCCTTAACGTACGAGTAAGTGAGTTTCCTGCAGACCATGATACTGATTTCCATTGTTTCCAATGTGACTATGTGTCAAGTATCAAAAGCAATCTCAGAAAGCACATCTTAAGGCACAGAACTCTGAGAAACTTAAAATGTGACCATTGCGATTATGTAACGAATGATAAGGATAATTTGAGACAGCATGTCAGGAGACACAATGATAAAAAGGAGTACAGATGTTCCCTTTGCAGTTATGCCACAAATGCCAAACACTCGTACAATCGACATCTCTTAAAACATAACGCTCTGAAAGACATTAAATGTGACCAGTGCGATTATTGCACACATACAAAGGACAACTTAAAGCAACACTTACTAATTCACTACAACGAGAAGAAATTTAAATGCGACCAGTGCACTTTCGAAACTCACATTAAAAAGTACCTGAAACGACACGCCCTCAATCACAAACCAACCACAGACTTTAATTGCTCCTACTGCCCCTACGCCACAAACGTCAAAAGAAATCTCATAAAGCACATCTTAAGGCACATAACGCCGAGAAATTTAAAATGTGACCATTGCAATTATGTAACGAACGATAAGGACAACTTGAGACACCACGTTAGGACGCACAACGATAAAAAAGATTACACGTGTTCCATATGCGGTTACGCCACAAATGCCAAAAACTCCTACACTCGACATCTCTTAAAACACAGCGCTCTGAAAAACATCAAATGTGACCAGTGCGCCTATGCTACACATTCCATGGCAAACTTAAACCAACACCTACGAACGCACCAAAACGAGAAGAAATTTAAATGTGACCACTGCGCTTTCGAAACTCACGTTGAAATGTACCTGAAACGACACGCTCTCAATCACAAATCGACCACGGACTTTAAATGCTCGTACTGTCCATATGCCACAAACGTAAAAAAAAACTTCAACAAGCACTTCTCGAACCACAGAAAGGAGAGCTCTGTGACTGCACGACGAGCTTCTGCAAAAACCTGAAGGCACACTTGCTGAAACACACCGCATTGAAGTGCTTCAATTGCTAAAGGACGTTTATAACAACATTTTTTAAGTCACCGAATAAACCAATAAATTAAGTGCTTCATTTGTGTTATTTCAATTTTGATATGCATATTAAACCAATAATAAAGGCAATAAAAAAATTACGAATCGTAACTCATTTATCGCACATAGATTCTAAACTGAAGAGCTTTGATTGGCGTAATACCGCTCCTGCAAGATAGGTAACCCGCCCCTGGTGTCGGGATTTCGAGCCTACAGTTGATTGTCGAAGACAATCACGGAATTAGGTGTCGTAACTCAATTTTGACTACATTTCTTACCACCCCCGTGACTGCTTCATTCACGGAGAAAATTGTTAGTAACAAACAACAAGTCAGTACATACATCAAACGAATCGGTAATTTCCACATATTAAAATAAAATGATCAAAACTTACATGAATGTTACTTCAGGGACAAGACCAAGTAATCAACATCAATAAACATAAATTAAGCAAGCATTACACCAAAAACGTAAACAATTACAAACAATAGCATAACGGTATCACATATGTGATTATCCATTGCGGTTAAACCAAGTAAATTTCAAAAAACAAAGATTCAAACACAACAAAAAATAAAATGTGGCATACAAAACACAAATACGATATAAAGAAATGCAAATATTACAACCTGCATTTAAAAAAACACAAAATAACAACAACCATTTATGGAGCGACGCATTCACGATCGCCATTCAAGACAAGTGCCACACGTAACCCCCGTTCGTGTTTTCTAGATGGGGCGGGCCTCAGAGTAAGAAATAAAGATAGAGTACGCGTACGCTATAACAACGTGAACGTTTGTTTTGAACCAACATCTCACCGTTGAGAGGACGAAAATAAACATTAGTCAGTGGCGTAGGGTTTATTTATCAATTTATCTTTATGGGCAACAAAGTTTATGTTTTGTTTACATGTGCAAACGTAATAACGTATCACTAAATATTTATGATCAAAAGCTGTATGTGTTTGAAAGGTCCCTATTGATCTATGATACCACTACGGTAACTATATACTATAAATCGTATAATTTTCGTTAACGTAAGATTTAACGGTTCCGTTCTTACGTTCTTACGGCTACGGAACTATAAATCCGGCTTAAGACAAGGTATGCCTATAACTAAACGCAGATGACGTTTTTATCTCAATGACGTCACAAGAATCACCGCCAAGTTTGAAAATGACATACACTTCATACTTGAATTAGAAGTGCCATTACAATTACTCGATTAATTTGGTTGAGTAATCATACTGAATGCATTTAGATATAAATATAAGGCAACAGAGAAGCTAAACGTACCACTTAATATACTTATTTCAGAAATTGAATTAGCCTTTTAAGTTTTTTTAATTACCGCTAGAGGTCTCGTCCTTTTGAAAACGCTAATGTAATTTTTACTTACATGTTTTATTGTAACCTAATTAATACTTTGTAAGTTTAATGTGAGAAACTTGACGCAGTTGACATGGATTGAACAAAACTTATCACATCCGTAATGGGGATACACTTTTATTAACTGGTAGGACTATACAAACCTCATTACTTTATTGAACGGTAGAGCCAAGTTATCCAAATGACGTCACGTATAGGCATACCAGTCTTAATTGTACCATGGAAGGGAGGATGGGGCTGTCACAAGACACGTGGTCTTGGTTACGCCACTGAGTGCCTTATAGTGAATGTCGGTCAGCCTGAAGTGATACTCGCGTTTTCAATTTTAATTTTTTTTTTGGGGCTTTTACACTTTCTCCTTTACACCTAACTTAAAGGAGCAACACGGGAGATTGCCCTAAACGTAAATGTGGAATAGTGAAAATGTCAACTGTCACAATCAGTGGATTTGTTGAAGTTGAGCCAAAACGAGAGGAAGAAGAAGAAAGTGCAACCGTTAACGGCGACGTTTTAATAAAGCACGAGGTTGCGACTGAGGATAATGGGAGTGCGAGTGGCATCAAGAGTGAGCTCAAAGTTAAAAGGGAAACACAGCAGCAGGAAGGCGAAGTCGCCTCGTATTTTATTAAGCCTCTTTTGTTGTATGATGAATGTATGGAAGACAAAAGTAATGTTCTTAACGTAGGGGTAAATGAGTCTCTGCACACTGATTTCCGGTGTTTTCAATGTGATTATACATCAAGTATGAAAAAAAATCTCAGGAAGCACATCTTAAGGCACATAACGCCGAGAAATTTAAAATGTGACCATTGCAATTATTTAACGAACGACAAGGACAATTTGAGACAGCACGTCAGGACGCACAACGCTAAAAAAGAATACACATGTTCCATTTGTAGTTACGCCACAAATGCCAAGCACTCCTACAGTCGACACCTCTTAAAACACAACGCTCTGAAAGACTTAAAATGTGACCGGTGCGCTTACGCCACGCATTCAAAGGGCAACTTAAAGCAACACCTACTAACTCACCGAAATGAGAAGAGATTTAAATGTGACCAGTGCACTTTCGAAACTCACGTCGAAATGTACCTGAAACGACACGCCCTCAATCACAAACTAACCACTGACTTTAAGTGCTCGTACTGTCCCTACGCCACAAATGTAAAAAAAAACTTCAAGAAGCACTTCTCGAAGCACACAAGAGAAAACTTAAAATGTGAACACTGCGACTACACTACGAGCGTTCGCGAGAATCTGAAGCAACACCTGCTGACTCACAGGGCGCTGAAGGACTTCGAGTGCGTGCACTGCGAGTTTCGAACGAACACCTTGAAGTACTTAAAGCAGCATCTCGCGACGCACAAGAACTCGAAGGAGTTTAAGTGTTTCGGTTGCGAGTACAAGACTAGTGTAAAGGGACGTTTAAAGCGGCATCTTTTAAGTCACCGAATTTCCGCTGTGAATGGGGTAGTTCCCATAAATTAAGTGCTTGAAATTTATAGCTATCTATTTTATTTAAATTTTGATATGTATATTAAAATAAATTTTACATATTAGAGCAAAAAATATGCATGTGATATATAGTCCTGCCGCTATAATCAGTGATACATTATATTGCAATTTTAAAGCAATGTCCCTGTCCCTGGTAGGGCTCTAATCCTACATTTTTCTCAGCTGTGCTATTTTAACTCCTTTCATTACAAAAGAAAGACCACCCCCAATCCCTATCCCCTATGGGGTGTATGAACTTTTTTTGTAGATACTGTAACAGAAAAAAAACTGTACGAGTTTGTTTATTTGAGCAGTTAAATATTGTAAGGTAAATTTAATTACGTGGTTTATTTATTTACAATTAATTAACAATGTTTTCCCGAGACATTTTGGTGTAGTCAATTTTTGGTAAAAATGGAAGGTAATACACTGCCTTTTTTTGAGCCCCCGAAAAAAAAATTGTCTCAGATCGACCCGGAAAAAAATTTTCTTATAGAATGTGGCCTGTAGAATCCATAATTTCAAACAGTTCCAAGATTGGGCTACTAGTTCAAAAGTTACAGCCCTTTGAATTTTTTTTCGAAATTGGTTTCTAGTCTATAACTTTTGATTGAGAAGTCTGATCGAAAAAGTACGAATTGTTTTGGATTCTACGCACCAAAATTAATAAGAAAAAGTGTTTTCCCGAGAAATTTTGGTGTAGTCGATTTTTGGTAAAAAAGGAAGGCCTTTTTTTGAGCCCCGAAAAAAAATTGTCTCAGATCGACCCGGAAAAAAAATTTCTTATAGAATGTGGCCTGTAGAATCCATAATTTCAAACAGTTCCAAGATTGGGCTACTAGTTCAAAAGTTACAGCCCTTTGAATTTTCTTTCGAAATTGGTTTCTAGTCTATAACTTTTGATTGAGAAGTCTGATCGAAAAAGTACGAATTGTTTTGGATTCTACGCACCAAAATTAATAAGAAAAAGTGTTTTCCCGAGAAATTTTGGTGCAGTCGATTTTTGGTAAAAAAGGAAGGTTATACACTGCCTTTTTTTGAGCCCCGAAAAAAAAATTGTCTCAGATCGACCCGGAAAAAAAATTTTCTTATAGAATGTGGCCTGTAGAATCCATAATTTCAAACAGTTCGAAGATTGGGCTACTAGTTCAAAAGTTACAGCCCTTTGAATTTTTTTTCGAAATTGGTTTCAAGTCTATAACTTTTGATTAAGAAGTCTGATCGAAAAAGTACGAACGTCAGGGTTTTAAGTGTTAGATTATTAACGGAGATAAAGGGCTAACGTTCCGTAAAGTAAGGTTTATTATTATTACTGAGCTAGCCTTGGTATTAATTATTTCATTGGAAAATATTAATTATTACACCATAATCGGTATCAGTGCAGTAGAAATTAAATTTCAGGCCCAGGCCTGTTATTTCAATAAATAAATTTTAGGAGCGCAGGGTGTTCAAGTGAAACATATAAAACCTGTGAATGTTTCCAGGCTATGGGCGTTTGTAAATATCAGTTGCTTACATAACTTTTAAAGTACTTAAAATACTGTCTTACTTAAAACTCAATAAATGTCATTATTATTATTAAACACAATATGTAAAAATGAAAATGGAAGTTTTATATCAAATCATCGTCTTACTCTCCGCCTACTACGAGTATTTCGTGGGTTCAATCAAAACAGTATAGGCATCGATCATTTTAAAAATGTAAAATTTAATTTCAATAATCAACAACTTATCTCGTCTACCTACACAACCATATACACGTATAATTAAAAATTAAAAGCCTTCTCAGTGTTTTACACTCTCATTTTGCTTAAAAATGCTGCACTCGGCCACAAAATCGCTGCAAATAAACAGATAAGACGGTTCTAACAAGACAACCCTAAAACAACATACCTAATCTCACCATTCTTATATGTGCTGTCACCGTCATAGTAACCGCCCGAACTCCAATAGACATCTTTCACACTTACAGATCCCTGCGATACCGCATCACGATCGGCCGCCGCCTCAGACACCTTATCTATAAGTTTAGACCAACCCTTATCGTACCCCGCATTTAAAACGAGTATCGGACAATCGACATTCCGAATGTAGCTGCTCGTATTGAAACTTAGCCCGTTCTCGATCAGAGGCTCGGTCACGAACGCGTCGTACCACGGCATCCACGAAAAAATCCTTCCCAACGGCCAGTACCAGTAGCCGATCCAGTCGGAGAGCGACGTGAACGGATTTTCCAAAATTAAACCGGTGGGAACGACGCCTTCGTTTCGCAACCGCGCGACGGCGTGCGTCGCGATTGCGGCGCCGAGTTGATCGCCCCAAACGTAGACGTCTCCCTTGGTCCTGTTAAGCACCCACCTGTAGATGTGGACGGCGTCGTCGACAAGTCCGTCTTCGACTAAATCGAACGTCGACGAATCTCCGTAGCCTGTCACAAAAGTCTAATATGAAACAAATAGGAGTAGTGACAACACTGGCGATATGTCATATACAGAGTGTCTCCTTTTCTGGCTCTGAAAAGAGTCTAGTGGGTAATTCGATTAGATGTCAAAAAAATTTGAGTCAGTAACCGCCATCTTTGAATTTTGTTTTGACATCTTTTAGTTTCATTTGTTAACTTTAAAGATGCCTATTTAATTTAGTGGGGATTACTCGTGCAATCTCACTCGATTTCGGACACCCTGTATACTTAATAAAAGTTGCGCCAATGTGTCAAATAATAAAACAATCGTCATACTTCTGTAGTCGAAAGCAATAACATGAAACTGCATCGCGTAGACGCTGTAGAAATTTTTGTACTTGAACCGATCGCCATTTTGATTGTGAAAGTGGATGAGGGTCGGTTTAGTGCGATAATAATAATCGGCGTATGTTACATTCCACAGTCCGATTCGCAAGTTCTTCTTCACAGTCACATACTGATTGGTAAAATTACGTCCGCTGCTTTTGCCCGAGACATCGTAGTCACTGTGAGGACCAGTGTCTACGAGAAAAATGTGTAAATGACAAGATTGATAGATGTAGAGGGACCATACAGATTTTAGTATGCACACTGAATTCCAGTTTTAATTCTACACCCTTTGAGAGGTTAACCAAAAGGGGTGGAAGACGATACAGTACCTACAGGGTGGCCAACTAAGAATGCGAGGTACTGTATCTGAAAATCTATCCATCGTAGGGGATTGCGGTAAAAAAAGTGAATACTAAAACGGCCACGAGAAAAACCTGTAAAATATTTTCAAGTTTCTGAAATGGCCGCTAGGGGGCGTAACTGCAATCTGGAATCTAAAAAAGTGATGTTTCTGTGAATTCCGCTATATTAACCTAACAAAAAAATGTCCGGTCTTTGAAGTTGACGATAATCTGAACAATTTTTGTTTGACAATTTTTCCTGTATCTCTAAAAATGAAATGGCGGGGGGTATTTAAAGGTTTCCGTAAAGAACACCCTGTATCTTCGAAACGGCTGAGCCGATTTAAACAAACTTGGGTTAGTTCAAAATAGTATTTTACATTATTAGCCAGGTAAGTGAGTTTTTACTGGCGATAGGAGAAGTTGACTGGCGAGCCGTCAGGCGAGCCTGTCATCTCCTAGAGCCAGTAAAACTATTACCTGGCGTATAATGTACAATATTTTATTTGTTACTCATTTGTAAACGTAAATAATTAGTTCTTAAATTGATCTTGAAGAAATGTCTAAAATATCATGTGATCCATGTAACAGAGACTTCGCATTAATTCTGGCCAATGAAATTACTAAATTACTAACTTGTAAAATTTTTACAGGTCTGCTGTCAGTTTTACAAGTCAGTAGCGTTTAAACATGACGTTTACCCGTTTGCGTTTTGTCTTGTTAATCAACGTTTACAAGTGAGTAACAAATAAAAGCTATTAGCTACAAATATTATACTACTTGAAGTTTTGTTAGTTTCACATATCACCGCTTGAGGGCTTTTTTCCACATTCCGACAGAAATGGTTAATTTTCTCAAAAAAATTAAATGCATTGGTTCGATTTTTTTTCATGAAAAAGTAGCTAAATGATGCCTAAACAACCTCGTGAAAACAGCATCTCAATATCATGCGTGATGGCCAGCATTTCGAGCATTTATGGCGGCATTAAAAGCTTCCTTTTTTAAATCGATCCACCTTAGGGCCACAAATTATACAATAAAAATAATTCCGGAAAAATTGGCTTAAAAAAAAAAATTTTGAAGGTATAAAATTTTCTTTGGCCTAAATTTTATGGTTAGGAACAAGATATCGAGATGCGGTTTTCGCGAGCTTGTTTAGGCATCATTTAGCTACTTTTTCATGAAAAAAAAAACAAACCGACGCATTTCATTTTTTTGAGAAAATTAACCATTTCTGTCGGAATGTCGAAAAAAGCCCTCAAGCGGCGATATGTGTAACTAACAAAACTTCAAATACCTATTATTTGTAGCCGAAGAATAACTCTTTTCAATTAAACCAAGTTTGTTTAAATCGGCTCAGCCGTTTCGGAGATACGGGGTGTTCTTTACGGAAACCTTTGGAAACCCCCACCCCTTCATTTTTAGAGATTCTGAAAAAATTGTCAAACAAAAATTGTTCAGATTATCGTCAATTTCAAAGACCGGACACTTTTTTGTTAGGTTAATATAGCGGAATTCACAGAAACGTCACTTTTTTAGATTTCAGATTGCAGTTACGCCCCCTAGCGGCCATTTCAGAAACTTAAAAATATTTTCCAGGTTTTTCTCGTGGCCGTTTTACTAATAACTTTTTTTACAGCGAACCTCTACAATGGACAGGTTCCCAGTTACAGTACCTCGCATTCTTATTTGGCCACCCTGTACATGCTAAAAAACTTCTCCGTGAAATGGCAGCCTCCCTCAATATTTTAAATATTTTTAAAATTAAAAAAAATCAACCCTTTTTGGAATCAACCAAACCTAAAGTGTCTAAAAGACCCTTAAACAGTTCTAGAAAGCACAGGAGAGGACCCTAAATTCTCATTAAGAGGCTTCAAAGTGCTAATGCAAAAAAAAATACATGGCCCCTCTAATGCCTTCATAATAATCAACCTGGATTGAAAATCAAGCTGCGTTGGAATCCAATGGAGTTTTTAAACGGCAATGGTAATAAAACAAACAGCGTGATGAACGTTATCGTCAGCAAAATTAATCTGAAAGCAATCCGGTTTTAAAATCCCCGGTGTGGGTGGGATGTTAAACGAACATGAAAATTGACGTAATCCAACAACACTTGCGGCATCTCCTGCACGTTCCCTTACTGCACATCCAGTAGCGCAGTCGGCGAAGTGACGACAGTATTTTCGCGATGGACAACGTGCACTTGAGCTTGCGGTACTCCACATCGTTCTCGTAGCCGAGTATGGGCTCCTCGGCGCAACGATCTTTGTCCGCGTCGGCTACGGTGGGATAATTAGGGAAAGGGGGAGATTTAATTCGTTTACCTGGGAACACTACGCTGCACTCGAAGAGGCAACACGACATTTTTCTTGTGCCACCGACGTATTTCGCAATATTGTGCAAAACAGATAAAAAAATGGTCTACGGGTGAAAGGCATTTGAACTACTGACGCAACCAATAGATCATATGAACTATTAGGAATTAGGCTGCGTTCGGTATTCGCGATTCGAAACACTAGAGGCGCTGATGTAATTTACAAATGGCGCTTTTTGAATTTTCAAAATATTTTTATGCGAATCGTTTGTTGGTGTTTGTTAGTTACATTTTCACGTTTGTTGGTTGATCGTTATTTAATTACTCAAAATTCAAAAATTTGGGCGTATAGTCCCTCACTTTTGGAATTTTCAGACAGTTTCATGTTTGTTACGCAATTTAGGTTACGCATATACTACTCAAATTTTGTATCACTTCTTAAATATGGAATAATCATTTGGGGAGGCTCCTCACAAATGCAGCGACTATTTAAAATACAAAAAACGGCCATTAGAGTAACCTTTAAGTTAAATAATAGACAAAGCTGCAGAAACATCTTCAAGCACAACAGGCCCTTAACGATATACGGATATTATACATATATATGAATGTATAATCTTTTTAGTTAAAGATTCTCAATACTTTATGACTATTTCCCTAAACCAGTGGTTCCCAACCTTTTACTAACAACAAACCCTACCTTTAGATTTTTTTTCTGGCGTACCCCCAAAACTTATGCCTGTTCAATTTAACAATTGGTGCAAGCCTCGACACCAATCACCATAACGAACCAAATAGCGAAAAAAGTAGAACAATAGCTCTTAAAATAAAGAACTAGTACCGTCTCAACGAATGAGCTTTTATTTTTTATTTTTGTGGAAATGCGCCAAAAATGAACACCCATTAAACAATAGAACCTGTACAAATCTTACACTATCGGGAGCACTCCACCTTCTAATCATTCGGGAATAACGCCGATTTGCTGTTGTATAGTCGCCTCTTACGACACGCAGTGCACTCTGCGGTAGGGGTATTCTGTGCCGCCCCTACACGGCCGAAGTGCTTTCGAACTACACCTTTAACGACTTCAAAGAAACCTATACGTTCTAAATGTCAAGCGGAATAGGAATTTCAGGAAAATCCTAAATGAAAAGCTAAATGTTACTCAAATTTATAACGCGAAATAACTACTCATTAATTCGGCGTCGATATTAGAACGCAATTCGATTTTCTTATATAGCAAACGAAAAGTATCTAGTAAAACAATGGAAATTCTCGAAGGTGGCGTATCACATTTCATAGAAACAATTATGCCGCATTCGTTCGTATAATATTTACCGATGCATAATCTTTTATCGACTTGATGGCGCCTTGATGTCTCTGTGGATTTCTAGAATATTCGCTTTGCTTGTATGACAGAATTATCAGTATGAAGGTTTTGTTTAAGACAGGATTTGTAATGTGTCGCAAAATCGCAATGAGCACATTTAAAATCTTCAGAATCGGTATGTTTTAAAATGTATTGTTTAAAGCAGTATTTGTTATATGTCTTGTAATCACAATTAGCACATTTAAGATCATTAGAATAAGTATGTACCTAAGTCACATTCAAACTCATTAAAAATTTGAGTTTTAATATCCCAACCACAATGGCATTGGGCGCATGCCTGTTGAGGGCCCAAAACAAGAGAGGGATAATAAAAAAAAAATAAAATAAATAAAAAAATGAGTTTGTTGTTTGTCCTTTGGAAGACAAGAGAAAATTAATATTTTGTGATTTCCGTTCCGTTAATTAATTAATAATTATTAGAAAATGTTAGTTTCACAATGCAAATTTAAAATTAGAATAGAAACGGACACGGTCGCCGCAGTACGATCGATAAACATACCTCTCGCTTGAGTGAGCATAATTATCAGTAGCTAATTAGATGTGCTGCGGCAAGCTTCGCCTGATTAGGTTGTGTTTGGTGTCAAATGAAACACGCATAATTTTTAAGATCGGTCTAATTAATGGCTGGGAAAACCACCGGGCCTTCCACAAATTTCCAAATTCATAAGAGCAAGTCTTTTAAAAACCTTTGAGTATCTTTAAAGTACAAAGAAGAACCTTTAAAATGTATTTATGGGTTTAACAGAGCGTCAAAGGGTCGACCAGTTCGGAAGCTTTCAGAAACCTTAAGATCCTCCTCTTTCTGTAATAGTGGAGCCTTTATGACCTTTTGTGTCTGTCAAAGTGCTTTATTTGATTCTTAGTGTGCTTACATGTTTAATCAATTCTGTACGTCCAGGATTACATAAATAACTCCTCGAAATAATTTAATTTAGCCGAATTATCTCTAATCAATACTTATAAGTTACCACATTCACAAACATTTAGCTAACACACACTGCTTAATTAATATTGTAAAAAACGGTTTGTGTGCCTTAAAAGGTGTTGTCTAAGACAGAGTTTTTTATGTGCCTCATAATCGCAATGCGCACATTTCAAACCTTCAGAAACTTTGTGTTTTAAAAAGTGTTGTTTAAAGTAGCGTTCGTTATTTGTCTCGTAATTACAATTGGCACATTTAAAATCTTTAGACACTTTATGTATTAAGAGGTGTTGTTTAAAGTGGCATTTATTACTTGTCGCGTAACTACAATTAGGACATTTGAAATCTTTAGCGTCTGTATGTCTCAAAAGGTGCCGTTTAAAGTGGTACTTGTTACTTGTCTCGTAATTACATTGAGCACATTTAAAATCTTTAGAATCGGTATGTGTTAAAAGATGTCGTTTAAAGTTGTTTTTCTGATTTGTCTGGTAATCACAATTGGAACAGTTAAAATTTTTAGAGTCTGTGTGATTTAAAAGGTGTTGTTTAAGGTTAGTTTTGTAATTTGTCTCGTAATCACAGTTAGCACATTTAAAATTTTTAGAATCGGTATGATTTAAAAGGTGTTGTTTAAAATTGGATTTGTTGTTTGTTTCGTAATCACAATTAGCACATTTAAAATTTTTAGAACCGATATGTTTTAAAAGGTGTTGTTTAAAGTAGTATTTGTTGCTTGTCTCATAATTACATTTAGCACATTTAAAGTCTTTAGAATTGGTATGTTTTAAGAGGTGTTGTTTAAAGTGGTATTTGTTATTTGTCTCGAAATCACAATTATCACATTTAAAATCTTTAGAATCGGCATGTTTTAAAAGGTGTTGTTTAAAGTAGTATTTGTTATATGTCTGGTAGTCACAATTAGCACATTTAAAATCTTTAGAACCGGTATGTCGTAAACTGTGTTGTTTAAAGTATCGTTTGCTATTTGTCTCATAATTGCAATGACCACATTTAAAATCTTTAGAATCAGTATGTTTTAAAAGGTGTCGTTTAAAGACTTTTTTGTTATTTGTCTTGTAATCATAATTAGCACACTGTAGCAGTTGCTCATCATCACAATTACTACTTGTTGTGTTTTGACCAAAGTCACATTTAAAATCGTTGGAAATTTCAGTTTTAATATTCCATTCACAATCAGTTTGATGTTGTACTTCTTCATTATCAAGTGATTTCGAGCACTGTGCAGTGATGGTAAATTCATCCTTTATTGTAACCAAATCATCTTCTTGTTTTGGTTCGATTTTAAAGAGTGTCTCGAAATCATTTCCGTCCATATCTAGCATCAATCACGTTATCAAGGAAGGTGTTACATTTATTACATAAAAGAGATAAAACAATACTGGAAATAATTTTTCCAATAAAGATAAACCACAGTCTAGGCACCCAAAGCTCTGGCTGTGGCTCAAGTAACTAAACATGTCAACTGTCAAGTTCCACTGGAGTCCTATTCCAGTGGTGTATCGATGCGTTCTATTTTATACTATATCTCCAAACTGGTTTCTCTCCAATCTTTCATCGGTAATAGTTTATTATCCGGGGGGTAACACCGATTTCAACCAAATTTCACAGGGGTCAAGAGGGGGGTCCCACGATACTAAAAAACCATACCAAACCCACCGCAATTGTTTATAACAAATAATAGCTAATAACAAATTTTATACAATGTTCCGTTACAAAAATTAAGGTGGCGCTGTGTGTAAATAAATCAATAATCTGATTATTCATGTGCGCAGGTGCAATTCCTACCCAGCGGCCACCGCGTTATACTTATAGACGCCATTTCTGTTTGCACCTGCTGAAGAAAACAGACGCTTTACTTTCGCTTCGTTTATCGTTCGTATTCTGCTATTTTAAAGCAATCATGGCGTGTCAGAGCTGCTATAATACACATCTTTTTCAGATTTATGTCACCTCGAACGGGATCATCTGGTGCTTCCCACCCGAGAAGACACCCGACTTCCGTTTTAGATTCGAGCGTCAGGTGAAAGTATCGAAAACTAGGAAGACTCAAAAGTGTTCGTTCTCTATTACAGCCGAGGGATCCCATCTGGATGTCCCGACCGTGTGTTGGTTCGTTGCGTGCTGGCTCATGGTTCACCATCCGAAGAAGAGGTTTTATCATGGAAGAGCTGCAAGTTTCGTCCAGGACATTCATCGACTGGAGCAGTTTCTGTCGAGAGGTATGTATGGATTATTTAACACGTCGTTCTGTTCTTTTAGGTGGAGAAGGAGTCACCGCTAAGATCGGCAAGAGGAAGTACAACCGTAGGAGAAGAATCGAAGGCCAGTGGATCTTCGGAGGGTATGAGCGAGGCTCGGGTAAGGTTTTTATCATTCCAGTTCCGGATCGAACGACGGATACCTTGCTTGACCTTATACGCGAGCACATACGACCTCGTACGTAGCAGACTGCTGCGATGCTTATTTTTACCTTTATCATGTATTTTTATTTAATAAAATAAGTGTGGTTATATGTATATTTATTACACACTTTACCTAGCCAAATTAGCGGTGTACGGAATAGGTTAAAGAAGTATTCTCAAGAACATTCTCTAGGTTAAAGGTTTTTTTAAAAACCCCTCTTAAAATTTGCATTGAGCAAGTACAAATTCACCTTTAAAATCCACGCTTTATGTGTGTTAAACAGGTGTGCTTAAGAAGTTGCCTACTTGCTTAGGTTAAAAGTTTTATTAAGAAATCACCTATATCGCCATTAATTACAATTAGTCAAACAAAAGAAGCGATATTAAGCTAATATAGTATATTAAAGTACAAGTGTCATTTGATGAAGATTGTCGCACGAGGTAGTTTGCCGCATAAGCCGCGTAGCGGCGAATGCGGCAAAAGCCGAGTGCGACAAGTAGACAAATGACACGTGTGCTTTATACTATTTTTTCTATTTCGACTTTTATTTTAAATAATAAATTATACAAATTATAAATATTGCCTTTAGGCGTTGTTAGGTAATTTTAAACTATCATTCAGTGTATGTTGGTAATAGACACAATTCATTTATTTTCACGTTGGCTAACCCGATTCCTGTATTTTCAAACTTCAAACTTTTAATTAGGTATTTGGTCATAATTCCATTTTGCGGCAGTTACGATGAATACGGATGACAAACACGTCTCTTGTACCCCATCGGAGATCCAAGAGATTGCCAATGAAGCGACGTTAAATTTACTGCCTGTAAAATCGAAAGTAAAGTACGAGGAGTACAAAATTTTTGAAAACTGGCTCACCGAGAAGGGGAGTTCAAAAAGTAAGCAAGAATGTACTGCTGGCATATTTTACTACGCTAAGTAAAAATAAAAAAAAGTTCTACCCTTTGGAGTATATATTCAAAATTAATCGGAATTAATACAATCGGTCAAGTTCCTCGTACGTTATTTACACTTTACAGGTTATGTTTAGTTTTGATTTGACGGATACCGTTGACAGCAAAAAAGCAAGGGGTACCAATCCAACAAAATAAAAAAAATAATGCGTTTCTATTTCTTTCGGCATCATTTCTATCTAGAAACGCACGCAAACTGGGCCAATCAAGTACGGTTTCGGTATTGTTTCCACATCGAAATAGAAAAAAGATATTTCACTTTGATCTGTGCCTAGGTCGGGAAGAGGATTTCGATAATTAAACATCTTGCATTAAAATTTTTGAAAAATGAACGCATCGCGCCACCTATTGCGCAATAGGTAAAGTTTTTTCCTGCTACCATGACATTTCCAATCTTTTTATATTTTTTTTTGAAAAAATGGGTCATTTGCGGAAAAAGATTCTATCATTTTCTTCAAAAACAGCCCATTTCCTACACTTTCTGAACATTTTTTTCGAAAATTACGCTACCCCCCGGATATGAAACCGTTACCCCTCCAACAGTAGTCCTCATGAGGTATCGAACACAAGGTTTCGGATTGGGCTTAATTGTCCTTCAATAAGTCCATTCCGCTAGTTTTTTTAATTTCGCTAACGTTATCGTTCGTATTTATCGTAATAGTCTCTAATTCGTGAGTTATCCCCCCAAATATGAGGCCTCCAAAACCTAGCCAACATTCATGCGTGTCATTTAGATTTTAGACGTACTTAAATTCCGTTACCGTAGGCGCACTACACTAATACTCTCAAAGTGCTACAAATACAGGGGGTGAATTATGTATATCATATCTCGGTAAATATCGAATGTATACAACATTTTTCTATATGAAAATTGTTGCATTTTATTGCCTATAATAAGGCAGCATTCAATTGTTTTTAAGACAGAAAACAAATGACTAACGAAAAACAATTGAATTTTTTTTAAATAGCAGTGCACCTTTTCATTAGGATCATTTGATAGAGATTTGTTTTCTCTTTCCTATGATTAGTATCCTTATTCAAGAAAATTTGAATTTATATAAACGCAACAGTATTTTATTTAGCGTCGCCCGCGAATGTCTCCCTAAAAAACCCTCAGACTCTTAATGCCAACTTTTTTATTCCCAAAATCCGCCTACAAAATGGAGGATAAATATTCCAACGACCAGTGCAGGTGAGAATATAAACGGTAAGTATTCAAGGTAAAGTAGATTATCACAAACAGAACCACACACTAAAGAGAAGAAAATAATTAGAGGACCCCCTTCTCGCATTGCTAGGACGCACGAGCTGCAGTCCGAGCGAGATGAAGGAACGTTACTAAGAGGGCTGCGAATCTAGCGACTGACGCTAACTTTCTGCGAAGTCCGTCGCGTAAAAATCACCTGTTTCCGTGGCATTGCGCAGTACAGTCGACGTATCACGATTGTAGTATACAAACGAACGAACAAAATAGGTAAAAATGAAACACTTGCTAACCCTCGCCCCTATTACGAGTGTTTCGTGGGTTCAAAGTAGGAATCGTTCTTTTTCAAAAAGTAAAATTTTAATTTCAATAATCAACAATTTATAATTTATATTATCTATCTACACAACCGTATACTCGTCTAATTTCTCAGTGTTTTACATTCTCATTCTGCTTAAAAATGCTGCACTCGGCCACAAAATCGCTGCAAATAAACAAATGAGACGGTTCTAACAACACAACCCTCAACACCATACCTGATCTCCTGATCATATCTTCTGTAGGGGTCATAGTAATGACCATCCGAACTCCAATAGACGCGTTTCACACTTACAGATCCCTGCGATACCGCATCACGATCGGCCGCCGCCTCAGACACCTTATCTATAAGTTTAGACCAACCCTTTTCGTACCCCGCATTTAAAACGAGTATCGGACAATCGACATTCCGAATGTAGCTGCTCGTATTGAAACTTAGCCCGTTCTCGATCAGAGGCTCGGTCACGAACGCGTCGTACCACGGCATCCACGAAAAGATCCTTCCCAACGGCCAGTACCAGTAGCCGATCCGGTCGGAGAGCGACGTGTACGGATTTTCCAAAATTAAGCCGGTGGGAACGACGCCTTCGTTTCGCAATCGCGCGACGGCGTGCGTCGCGATCGCGGCGCCGAGTTGATCGCCCCAAACGTAGACGTCTCCCTTGGTACTGTTAAGCACCCAACTGTAGACGTGGACGGCGTCATCGACAAGTCCGTCTTCGACTAAATCGAATGACGACGAATCTCCGTAGCCTGTGACAAAAGTCTAATATGAAACAAATGGCTACAGTCACTAAATATAGAAAGTACTGCAATCCATTGGGCTCGTGTGTTTGAGAGAGAATGCATGATTCTTGCCCAAAAATGGCGGAAGTTACCAGATTCTCGTAACTTTAATGTTAGGAATTGTTCCACCTGTTTGGAGATATCTGTATATATTTTTATAAAAAATGACAGCTGTTCAGATTTTGTCAATGTTGGCAGCAAATTTGCCCAAAAATGGATGATGCGGTACTTTCTATATCTATTGACTTTCCACTTTTTCTAGAAGTATTGGTTGGAACCCAAAATGCTATGAAACAGGCCAACAATGTTCTGAAGAGTGTAATTTGATTAAAGATGTCAAAAAAATTGATAATTCGTGTCAGTAACCGCCATCTTTGATTTTTTGTTAATTTTTATAATGAAAGATGGATGGATTGGAATTACCCATGCAATCGTACTCGATCTAGGACACCCTGTATACTAAAAAAAATTGCTTACTTCTGTAGTCGAAAGCAATAACATTAAACGGTCCCGCGTAGACGCTGTAGAAATTTTCGTATTTCCGCCGATCGCCGTTTTGATTGTGAAAGTGGATTAGGGTCGGTTTACTCCGATGATAATAATCAGAGTATGATACGTTCCATAGTCCGATTTGCAAGTTCCTCTTCACGGTCACATACTGATTGGTAAAATTAAGTCCTCTGCTTTTGCCCGAGACATTGTAGTCACTGTGAGGGCCGGTATCTACATGAAAAATTTGTAAATGACAAGGTCGATGGTAGCTACGAAGATGTAGAAGGACCATACAGATTTTAATATGCACCCTTTAAGAGGTAAACCAAAATTGTACTACTTTTTTGTAAAACAATTGTTAATCAAGTTGACTTTTCACCACTGCACTTCGACCGATTCAAGGCTGAATGGGAGGGTTATTGCTAAAGGGGTATAAGCCGATACAGTACATGCTAAAGAACTTCTCCGTGAAATGGCAGCCTCAATTTTTTAAAACTAAATAAAATAAAAAAGAATTATTGTATTTATTTCTTTTCCAACAAATTTTTATTTATGGCATATATATATATATATATATATATATATATATATATTTGTAAACCATAAATAAAAAATTTGTTGTGAAAGACAAATAATTACAATAATTTGAATAATTAATCCCAAACAACGATGGACCTACCAATACAATATAATAACAATTTTTTTAAATGCTTTCTGGAACGAAGCACACCTTGAAAGTGTCTAAAAGACCCTTAAAGTCCTAGAAAGCACAGGAGAGAACCCTAAATTCTCATTAAGAGACCTCAAAGAGTGCTAATAGAAAAAAAAACATGGCCCCCTCTGACGCCTTCATAATACTCAACCTGGATTGAAAATCAAGCTGCGTTGGAATTCGATCGAGTTTTTAAAAGGCAATGGTAATAAAACGAACAGCGTGATGAACGTTATCGTCAGCAAAATTAATCTGAAAGCAATCCGGTTTTAAAATCCCCCGGAGGGTGGGGTGTCAAACGAACATGAAAATTGACGTAATCCAACAACACTTGCGGCATCTCCGGCGCGTTCCCTTACTGCACAACCAGTAGCGAAGTCGGCGAAGTGACGACAGTATTTTCGCAATGGACAACGTGCACTTGAGCTTGCGGTACTCCACCTCGTTCTCGTAGCCGAGTATGGGCTCCTCGGCGCAACGATCTTTGTCCGCGTCGGCTACGGTAGGATAATTAGGGAAAGGTGGAGATTTAATTGGTTTACCTGGGAACACTACGCTGCACTCGAAGAGGCAACACGACATGTTTCTTGTGGTACTGGTATATTTCCCAATATTGAGCAAAACCAATTAAAAATGTCGAACACTCAAAAACAAAACCCGGGTAGGTCTACTTGTGAAAGGCATTTGATCTACTGGTTATGCTTTGTAGTTGCAGACGATCATATGAACTATTCGGACTTTGGTTGCGTTCGGTTATTACAGTTGTATTTTTAGGATAGTTCTCCAGATAAAAAGATCTTCTGGAAGCTCATATGAAACTATGGATAGGTCAGATAAAATGTGACGTTTTAAACACTACAATCTCTGAGCCAATGGAGATTAACAAAATACCATCAATAGTAATTACAATGTGCTGCCACCAGAGGTCTTACTGCGTGCGTGCGTAGTGAGTGCACTGTATTTAAAGGTTGATGCATTAACAAAAACGGTGTCTCTATTAACACTAATGGTTTGGCCCGAATATTTTTAACTCTCTACAGATGGCATCAAATATTCTCCAAAAATTAGTACTTTTAAAACAAAGCTTAACAAACCCATGAAAGATAATTGTTTTTACGATGTAACCGTATTTTATCAGTTTGCGTGTTCAGTATGGACACTTAAAAATAAATATTACCAGTGCAAGTTTCTGTAATATGTTGAAGTGTGCTTTACAGCATTTTCTTCATTGAGAGTGCAGAATATCAATGCAATAAATTTATTTAATTATTCATATTCCCTCCCACGAAACCACTACAAAGCAAGTACAGAATTAATATTTAATTTAACGAGTGCGTTAAAAGATGTTGTTTAAGGGAGGATTTGTAATGCGTCTCAAAATCGCAATGAGCACATTTAAAATCTTTGGAGACCTTATGTTTCAAAAGGTGTCTTTTAAGACAGTAGTTGAGATGTGTCTCATAATCACAATGAGTACATTTAAAATCTTTAGAAACTTTATGTTTTAAAAGATGTCGTTTAAAGTTCGTTTTGTATTTTGTCTGGTAATTACACTTAGCGCATTTAAAATCGTTAGAATCGGTATGTAGTAAAAGGTGTTGTTTAAGGTGGTACCTGTTGCTCGTCTCGTAACTGCATCTACTACATTTAAAATCTTTAGAATCGGTATGTCTTAAAATGTGACGTTTAAAAGCTTTTTTGTAGTTTGTCTCAAAATTACACTTGGCACACTTAAAATCTTTAGAATCGGAGTGTTTTAAAACGTGTTGTTTAAAGTGGTTTTTGTTATTTGTCTCGTAATTACATTTAGCACATTTAAAATTATTAAAATCGGTATGTTTTAAAAGGTGTCTTTTAAAGTAGGATTTACTACTTGTCTTATAATCACAATTAGCACATTTAAAATCAATAGAATCAATATGTGATAAAAGGTGTCGTTTTAAGTTGTATTTCAAATGCGTCTTGTAATCACAGTTGGCACATAGTAGCACATTACGTTGCAGCAATTGTTTATTCTTTGTTCCATAATCCCCTGTAACATTATGCTCTAAAAGATGTTGTTAAACTTGCAGCTTACTATTTGTTGTGTGTTGACCAAAGTCACACTCAATTTGAGTTTTAATATTCCATCCACAATCAGTTTGTACTTCCTCATTATTGAGCAATTTGGAGCACTGTGCAGTAATGGTAATTTCTTCCTTTACTGTAACCAATGCTGCATTGCTTACCAAAATGTTACTTTGAAGATCAGAATCGATTTCTTCTTCTTGTTTTGGTTCGATTTTAACAAGTGTTACATCACTTACGTCCATATCTAGCATCAATAACGTTATCAAGAAATGTGCTACAATTACATTTTTATTCTTTAAATCTTTCTTCAAATTGTTTACTCATCACAAGTCCATTTAAATTTATAGCTCTCGGTGGGCGTAGATAAAACTCTGGCTCCAGTGGCGTACCGATGTATTTTATTTTTGGTTACGGGACGCTATTAAGCTCCCCAGCTAGGGCCATCAAATTAATAAAAATGGCTAGAGTGCACCTTAGTTGAGCGTTTTCATAAAAAAAAATTTGCGGGAGAAGCGCGAAATTTTCCACAATCTTAATACAAAGTTCACATAATTTCGTAGAAATATGATGTTGTGTTACTCCATATTTCATCGCAACAAAAACATGTACAATCGTGGATATCGTAATGGCGAATTGAATTACATGAGCCAGGTTATCGTTCCGTTTCAAACATAAATAATCGTTCGAAGTTTCGGCTGTCTATGAAAGATGTCCCTTCCCCTTTCGAGTGATAAGGCGGTCGATGCGAAAGAATCGGTCTATGGAAAATTTTTTATTCCCTATGGCATTCAAATTTAGACTGTATGCTCTTCAAAAAGTGGTTTAACTAGCACGTGTGACATTGAAGTGTATAAGTCGAGCTAAACCTAAAGCTGTATTGTATATTATACTACTTTTATTCCATTAACTGTTAATATACACGTTAAACCCAGTAAGGACGAAGAACCTAACCTTTTAAAAAAATTAGTTGTTTTAGCCATGTCTTGTGTAATTTGTTGCAGTGTGCGGAATATCTTTGAAATACATTTATTTATTTACTTATTTACATATTCATATTCTACAAATAATGAAGTTAGGACACATAGACCTCTCCCTCTCTCCCTACACTACAGAATTACATATTAACTTTGTTTGTGTGCGTTGGAAGGTGTTTTATAAGACAGAACTTGTAATGTGTCTCATAATCGCAATGAGCACATTTAAAGTCTTTGGTAACTTTATGTTTCAAAAGATGTTGTTTAAGACCGTATTTGATATGTGTCTCATAATTGCAAAGAGTACATTTAAAATATTTAGAACCTTTATGTTTTAAAAGGTGTTTTTTTAAGTAGTATTTGTCATTTGTCTCAAAATCACAATGAGCACATTTAAAATCTTTAGAATCCAAATGTCTTAAAAGATGTGATTTAAAATTATTTTTGGAATTAGTCTCGTAATTACATTTAGCACATTTAAAGTCTTTAGAATTGGAATGCTTTAAAAGGTGTTGTTTGAAATAGTATTTGTTGTTTGTTTCAAAATCACAATAAGCACATTTAAAATCTTTAGAATCCAAATGTCTTAAAAGGTGTGATTTAAAATTTCTTTTGTAATTCGTCTCGTAATTACACTTAGCACATTTAAAATCTTTGGAATCGATATGTTTTAAAAGGTGTACTTTAAAATCCTTTTTGTAATTCGTCTCGTAATTACATTGAAAACATTTAAAATTTTTAGAATCGATGTGTTTTAAAAGGTGTCGTTTAAAGTACTTTTTGTTATTTGTCTCATAATCACAATTAGCACATTTTAGCACATTACTAGAAAGATTGTGTGTTAAAATGTGCACTTCAAGACATTGTTTATTATTTGTTCCATAATCACAATGAGCACATTTAAAGTCTTTAACGGCGATATGTTTTAAAGCATGTCGTTTAAAGCTGTTTTTGTTATTTGTCTTGTAATCACAATTAGCACATTTAAGATCTTTAGAATCTACATGTTTTGAAAGGTGTTGTTTAAAGCAGTATTTGTTACTTGTCACGTAATCGCAATTAGTACATTTAAAATCTTTAGAAGTGATGTGTTTTAACAGGTGTTGTTTAAAGCAGAATTTATTATTTGTCTCATAATCACAATTAGCACATTTCAAATCTTTAGAATCGATATGTTTTAAAAGGTGCTGTTTAAAGCAGTATTTGTTATTTGTCGCGTAATAACAATGAGCACATTTGAAATCTTTAGAAGTGGTGTGATTTGAAAGGTGTTCTTTAAAGTTCTTTTTGATATTTGTCCCAAAATCACAAATAGCACATTTAAAATGTTTAGAATCGATGTGATTTAAAACGTGTTGTTTAAAGTAGTATTTGTCATTTGTCTCATAATCACAATGAACACATTTAAAATCTTTAGAGTCCTTATGTGTCAAAAGGTGTCGGTTAAAGTGGCTTTTTTTATTTGTCTCGTAATCACAAATAGCACATTTAAAACCTTTAGAATCGATATGCTTTAAAAGGTGTTGTTTAAAGTTCGTTTTGTGATTTGTCTCGTAATCACAATTAGCACATTTAAAATCTTTGGAATCAGTATGATTTAAAAGGTGTCGTTTAAAGTACTTGTTGCAACTTGTCTCGTAATCACAATGAGCACATTTAAAATCTTTAGTATCTCTATGTTTTAACAGGTGTTGTTTAAAGCTGTATTTGTTATTTGTCTCATAATCACAATGAACACATTTAAAATCTTTAGAATCGGCATGTATTAAAAGGTGACGTTTAAAGTGATATTTGTTATTGGTCTTGTATTCACAACTGGCACATTTAAAATCTTTAGAATCGATATGCTTTAACAGGTGTTGTTTAAAGTTCTTCTTGTAATTGGTCTCATAATGACACTCGGCACATTTAAAATCTGTAGAAACTTTATGCTTTAAAAGGTGTCGTTTAAAGTTGGGTTTACTATTTGTCTTATAATCACAATTAGCACATTGTAGCACATTAGGTTTGTTCTCTTGAAGCAACTGTTTATTCTTTGTACGATAATCACAATAACCTGTAACGTGTTGCTTTAAAAAATGTTGTTTAATTTGCACCTTACTATTGGTTGTGTGTAGACCGAAGTCATATTCCAAATCCCTGGAAATTTGTTGTGGTACTTCTCCAGTATCAAGTGATGTGGAGCACTGTACGTAACTGGTAATTTCATACTTTATTTTAACCAATGCTTCGTTGCTCACTAAAATTTTTCCTTGAAGATCCAAATGGATTTCTTCTTCTTGTTTTGGTTCAATTTTAATGAGTGATATGACATCATTTCCGTCCATATCTAGTATGCGTTACAATTACGTTTTTGTTCTCATCAAAAAGTTATTATTATTATTATAAAAAAATTAAGTTTACAATTTTCTTACCAGTCACAACTTATCAATAGGCAGCCTTTCTCTTCTCTAAATGCAAACGAAAACAAAGCTGTCGTTGTGGCTCAAGTAAAGAGGTAGGTCATATCCCGACTCGGTTAATTAGCGTTTCATTCCAGTGGCGTATCAATGGGTTTTATTTTTTATTGTATCCCCAAAATTACAATTAAATCTTTTGTCTTTAGTGAAGAATAAGATTGGAGTTAGTGAATGGGCGCATGTATTTCAATAAATGCTATTTTGTGTTTTTCTAAAATTCATAATTAACGGCCATCAGGCCATCGCCTAAAAATTCAGAAGTGGTAATACCGAAGCGGTTTCCGACAAAGGTGAACCGAAGTGTTTCAACTGCAACAATTATTTCGGGCATTTGTCCAGGAGACTGCCACAGCCGAAAGAGTGACAACGAACTATCGAAGAAATCAGAACCTGTTGCACGTGTGCACTTTAAAACATCGTTTATACATACATTGATTTTATTACAGTTTCCACAAATAATCAAAGTTCTATTTTTAACTCTAGAATATCTCAACAGCTGAAAGTTAAAAAAATCCGAAGAGTCTCCGAGCAAGAAATTTTTTGCGTTTGCTTTGAACCAATGTAAGAGCACAAACTCAGTAGTGTAGGTTTTTTCTATTCATGTTTTGTTTATATAAATATTAAATATATAAATGCCCAAGGCATCTCTATTTTTATGTCTTGCTCGGAAACAATCGATACCTACACTCAAATATTCTAACATTTAGCCAATATTTTAAATGTTGCTAAATGTCATTAAGCCACCACTACAAAATTAATATTTAACTCAAGGAGAAATTTGTTCCTTGTTTTGTGTGGTTTAAAAGGTGACGTTTAAGACAGAATTTGTTATGTGTCTCATAATCGCAATGGGCGCATTTAAAATCTTTAGAAGCTTTATGTTTTAAAAGGTGTCCTTTAAAGCACCGTTTATTATTTGTTTCATAATCACAATGGGCACATTTAAAATCTTTAGAAGCTTTGTGTTTTAAAATGTGTCCCTTAAAGCATTGTTTAAAATTTGTTTCGTACTCACAATGAGCACATTTAAAATCTTTGGAAACTTTATGTTTTAAAAGGTGTACTTTAAAACATTGTTTATTATTTGTTTCATAATCACATTGAGCACATTTCAAATCTTTAAAATCGGCATGTTTTAAAACGTGTTTTTTAAAACAGTATTTGTTACTTGTCTCGTAATCACAATGAGCACATTTAAAATCTTTACAATCAGTATGTTTTAAAAGGTGTTGTCTAAAGTAGAATTTATTATGTGTCTCATAGTCACAATCAGTACACTTAAAATCGTTAGAATCGGTATGTTTTAAAACGTGTCGTTTTAAGTGGTATTTGATATGTGTCTTGAAATCACAATTAGCACATTTAAAATCTTTAAAATCAGTATGTGTTAAAAGGTGTCGGTTAAAGCAGTATTTGTTGTTCGTCTCGTAATCACAATGAGCACATTTAAAATCTTTAGAATCGGTATGTCTTAAAAGGTGTTGTTTAAAGTGGTATTTGTTACTTGTCTCGTAATCGCAATGAACACATTTAAAATCTTTAGAAACTTTATGTTTTAAAAGGTGTCCGTTAAAACATTGTTTATTATTTGTTTCATAATCACAATGGGCACATTTAAAATCTTTGGTAACTTTATGTTTTAAAAGGTGCCGTTTAAAGTGGGATTTGTTACTGGTCTTGTAATCACAACTAGCACATTGTAGCACATTACGTTTGTGTATTAAAATGCGCCGTTTATTCTTTTTTCGATAATCACAATGATCACAAAAGCCTCCTGAATCGTTATGCTGTAAAAGATGTTCACATTCAAAACCGTTGGAAATTTCTGTTTTAATATTCCATCCATAATCAGTTTGTTGTTGTACTTCATTATCAAGAGATTTGGAGCACTGTGCAGTAATGGCAATTTCGTCCTTTATGTTAACCAATGATTCATTGCTTACTAAAATTCTTTTTTGAAGATCTGAATGGATTTCTTCTTCTTGTTTTGGTTCGATTTTAATGAGGGATAACACGTCACTTCCGTCCATGTCTAACGTTATTAAGAAATGTGTTACAAATAACGTTTTTGTTAACAGTCAACGTATTTATAGCTCCTCGTAAAGACGTGGACAAAGCTCTGGCTGTAGCTCAAATACCGACATACGTCAAGTTGGGGTTGATGGAATTCGCGATTGAGATAATAGTCATCAGTTCTGGTCACTGGTGGCAGCACATTTAATTAATAAAGGTGTGTGAAGGCCGCCATTTTGTTTATTTACAATGGCGAAAAGTAATTAATATCGTAGTGCAAAAATTTCATTTGCAATAAATGTCATCCTTCATCTCATTTTATCGACACTTGTTATCTACATTGGATAAAATTTGCTGCTCGGTGTCGTTTCATCTTTCGCTTGAATGTTGGTCATGCTTACATACTCTGCCTATGTGACCTCTCTTGTCGCACTTAAAACAATTACTGCTTTTCAATTAACAATCTTTGGCGTAGTGACCAGGATCTCCGCAGCGATAGCAAATTGTCATTTTATATAATTTACACGTGTTGTTTTGCATATTCGCCGCCATTTTGTCCTGTGATGTGTACTGCTTGAATACCGATTTCAGAGTTCGATTTCAATCAACCTCGCGGTAGATGATCGTAATACTTTTTACATTCGTCGCCAATTGTACTATTTGATAGTATGTTGACCAAGTTCATTAATTGGTACCTAGTACTTTCTATAACATTTATTACCTTCCAATCTTCTACATGAATAAAAGTTGTACTGTATCCTCTATATACTACTAACCTAAACACTACAGATCCCTCTTTCTACAAATTAATTCAAAAGACTCCAATAGGACCACACTGCACTTACCGTTTTGTGTGCGTTAAAAGATGTCGTTTAAGAGAGAATTTGTTATATGTCTCATAATCACAATGAGCACATTTAAAATCTTTCATAACTTTGTGTTAACAGGGTGCTGTTTAAAGGTGGGTTTGTAATTTGTTTCATAATCACAATTGGCACATTTAAACTCTTTAGAATCGTTGTATTTTAAAAGGTGTCGTTTAAAGTAGTATTTGTTATTTGTCTCGTAATCACAATTAGCACATTTTAAGACATTACCAGAAAGTTTGTGTGTTAAAAGGTGTCGTTTAAAGTTGCTTTTCCGATTTGTCTCGTAATCACAGTGAGCACATTTAAAATCTTTAGAATCGGTATGTATCAAAAGGTGTCGTTTAAAGGAGTATTTGTTACTTGTCTCGTAATCACAACTACCACATTTAAAATCTTTAGAATCGCTATGTTTTAAAAGGTGCCGTTCAAAGTTCTTTTTGTAATTTGTCTCGTAATTACATTTGGCACATTTAAAATCTTTAGTTTCTGTATGAATTAAAAGGTGTCGTTTAAAGTTCTTTTTATAGTTTGTCTCATAATCACAACTAGCACATTTAAAATCTTTAGAATCGGTATGAATTAACAGATGGCGTTGAAAGTATTTGTTGTAATTTGTCTCGTAGTTGCATTTAGCACATTTGAAATCTTTAGGATCGGTATGTTTTAAAAGGTGTCGATTAAAGTGGCCTTTGTTATTTGTCTCGTAATCACAATTGGCACATTTAAAATCTTTAGAATTGGTATGTTTTAAAAGATGTTGCTGAAAGCAGTATTTGTTATTTGTCTCGTAATCACAATTAGCACATTTAAATTCTTTAGAATCGGTATGTTTTAAAATGTGTCGTTTAAAGTTGAATTTGTTATTTGTGATGTAATCACAACTAGGACATTGTTGCACATTACGTTTATGTGTTAATATGTGCCGTTGAAGCAGTTGTTTATGCTTTGTCCCATAATCACAATGAGCACAGTTAAAGTCTTCTGAAAGAGTGTGCTTTGTTCCGAAATCGTTGGAAACTTGAGTTTTAATATTCCATCCACAATCAGTTTGTTGTTGTACTTCTTCACTATCAAGAGATTTGGAGCATTGTGCAGTAATGGTAATTTCCTCCTTTATTGTAACCAATGCTTCGTTACTTACTAAAATGTTCCCTTGAAGATTGAAATCAATTTCTTCTTCTTCTTGTCTTGTTTCCATTTTAATGAGTGGTAATAAAATATTGCCGTCCATATCTAGCATCAATGATTTTATCAAGAGTTTTAAAATTTGTTTATCAAAAGTAAAGTTTAGTATTAAACAATACACGTTTCTTACTTGTAGATACAAGTCCCTTTAGTCTCGGCACTGAACGGCTCGCATATCTTAATCAGTCAGGTAAGACGGACACAAGGTTCTACTTGTTTTTACTCTACCTCTCGTAGGGATTGCGAACTTTGGAGCTATGCGTGGATAATCTTCAGCACGATTTTTTGTATGAACACATTCAGCCGGTTCGGGCGGATTTAATGCAGGCACTTTGGCGTACGTTAAGAAATAACGATCAGGTGGCCCAAGTGGCTTTCAAGTAAGTAACCAACCAAAATTCATTCGCAATCTCATCATAAAAATTGTGTTACTCATCAGCTACTGACGTAGCTAAAGCTCTGGCTGTAGTTCAAGTACCGATATTAGTCAAGTTTCAGACCCCAATCCAGTGGCGGATCGAATTATGATCAAAACTAGTGAACAAAAAGATCTGCGTTTTTGGAAATTGTATCAGCTTTAATTAGTTTAAAGTGTTGGTACATTTTTAGAAGCGATAGTGTACTCTCTCCACGGAGAGGTTTTCCCTACTCCCACAAGATGAAAGACGGGCAACGAAGTGCAGGCAGTAGGTCCAGGTGAGAAACGACTGCGCAACTCCAAAAATCTAAACCCCCGCCATTTTGGTCAGAACATAACCTGTCTCATTGTAATAGTGTATAGAGCTATATTGAGGGAGCTCAGGCATTATATAATACAGGGATATAATATTTGCATACAGAGTAGTTTCGAGACCCATCACATAACAGTATTCAAATATTCACGAAATATAGTCATATTGGGCATATACAAAATAAGGTTGACCTTTGCCTTAAATAGCCTTCAAAGGATGCTAACATGATAATATCTTGTTAGCATAATTTGTACTCGAGCATAAAAGAGACAGATACAAAAAATTGCGAGTAGTCGCCTTACGAATTTTATATGTGTACCGCATCATTATGAAAGGGAACAGGAGAAAACAAGCGCGTGTTAAGATAAGGGCGAGTGTTTAACCAGATAAGAGTCGAAACGTGACAGTGTTGCCACGATCTCTCAAACCTTAAAAGTTTCGTTTCGTTTTCCGAAACCCCGAACACGTGAGAAAATGCGAGACTTGTATTGGTTAAGAGGGCACGCTTTCCACAAGTGTTGCGTTGAGGAAAACGGTGTTCGTTTTCAATGAGACTCGGCGAGATATTTAAGTAAAAACGTGGCGAGGGACGGGCATTCTGAATTAATTCTTCGAAATTCAACAGAGCACAGAGCGTGTGTGTTTTGGTTTGTGTTCCGTGCGTCTCGTATTACTGTAAATATATAATGTAAACATTGCTAGGCGTTGCGCGCACGCTACCTGCTAAAATTAACCTGATTACAAACCACTCCCACTTACACCCGCCATTTGTAAATTACACCAGCGCCTCTAGTGTCTGAATTGCGAATTACCAATTCCCTTGTTTGAATAGTACCTTACACCATTAATTAATACCTTCTACTTTGATATAACATTTATTAATTGCAAATATTCCACAAGACTATACTATAAGTTCTACATCTCGTAACTTAACCTCTATATTTTCTCCAGTTTCTAGGGCTCCAATACCACCACACCACACACTACAGAATTAATATTTAACTTACGGAGACATTTGTTCAGGGTACAAACGTTTAGTGTGCGTTAAACGGTGTCGTGTAAGGCAGAATTTGTTATGGGTCTCATAATCGCAATGAGTACATTTCAAATCTTTGGAAGCTGTATGTGTTAAAAGGTGTCTTTTAAAGTTGTTTTTCTGATGTGTTTTGTAATCACAATGAGCACATTTAAAAACTTTGGGCTCTGTATGTATCAAAAGGTGTTGTTTGAAGTAGTTATTTGTTACTTGTTTCATAATTACAATGAGCACATTTAAACTCTTTAGAATTATGATTTAAAAGGTGTCGGTTAATGTTGCTTTTCTTATGTGTTTTGTAATCACAATGAGCACATTTAAAAACTTTGGACTCGGTATGTTTTAAAAGGTGCTGTTTAAAGTAGTAGTTGTCATTTGTCTCATAATCACAATTAGCACATTTAAAAAGTTTAGAATCAGTATGGTTTAAAAGGTGACGTTTAAAGTTCTTTTTGTAATTTGTTTCGTAATTACATTTAGCACATTTAAAATCTTTACGATTTATATGTTGTAGTAGGTGTTGTTTAAAGCGGTATTTGACATTTGTCTCGTAATTACATTTAGCACATTTAAAATCTTTAGAATCGCTATGTTTTTAAAGGTGTCGGTTAAGATATTGTTTATGATTTGTTATATAATCACAATGAGCACATTTAAAACCTTTAGAATCAGTATGATTTAAAAGGTGTCGTTTAAAGTGGTATTTGTTATTTGTCTCATAATCACAATGGGCACATTGAAAATCATTGGAAATATCGAGCGATTTGGAGGTGTGTGCAGTAATGATAATTTCGTCCTTTACTGTAACTAATGATTCATTGCTCACTAAAATGCTATCTTGAAGATTGGAACGAATTTCTTCTTCTTGTTTTGGTTCGATTTTAATTATTGGTACATCATTTCTGTCCATTTCTAGCATTTTGACTCGTGTTTGTTTATCAAAACTAAAACAATAATTTCTACCAGTCACAGTCTATTGGTCTACCACCAATACTGACGTAGATAAAGCACTGGCTGTAGCTCAAGTATCGGTAATCCCTTTCCAGTGGCGGGCCAAAGAGTTATATTTTATACTGCATCTCCAAATTCTGGCTTCTTTTAAACTATTCATTTTGGATGTCTTTATAGGCATCATCGTTGAGTTATATCCTGGGCATCGATTCCCGAAGTTAGTCGTTGTGCTAGTGATGTGCATGTGATGTGACCGGCTGCCATGACGTCATGATCGTATACAAACTTTATGCGCTAACCAATTACAGACAAGAATTGAACTGTCATTTGTCAGTTTTGTATTTTGTTTTGATTTTGCATTATGGATACTGCTATTAATAACCAGAAAATCCTGGAACAATTCCATGTTTTATTTCACAGAAAATATGTGAATTTATAGGTTAGGGCACTGAATAACCTCTATAGCAAAACAGCTGCAAGATCCGTCCTGTAGCTGCAACTGCGCATGACTTTCACGCAACGAGTGGTCTTGACCAGTCGTTGCGTTCGATCAACTTTTCGCTCGATGTGGTAGGTTCGAGAATGCAGTGACATTCACGTTCACATCAAGGTCAGTCGATGTGAACAAAGCACATCTTCGGGAATCGACGCCCTGGTTCGGCACAATCCGAGGAAGTAACTTTTGAATTTGAAGAATTTAAATCTGACGTCGATTAAATACATTTAAGAAGCACAAATAGATTTTACAGCGAATCCACTCCTTTCCCATTAGTGAAAAGTAACAATCCGAAGTCTCTTACATAAAAGACATGAAATAAACATTGTTAATTAGCCGGACCTCCGTCAGTCCAGAAGGTATCTGAAGGTCTTGGATACGGTAACGTTAAGTATCTGATACTTAGGAAAAAAAAAAGATGCATTGACAAAAAGCCATTTAACCTATACTGAATCTCTCACCGATGCGGAGATAACAACAGTGCTCCTCTAGAAATCCCAGGGGGACTACTTAATGGCAAATTTCAACCTTTTACGTCCAGTTGTGGCTGTGCGGTGTCTGTCTTATTACTCAGTCAGTAACTGAAGGGTTTTATTGAAGATCTTTATTACAGTTTTCACAAGAGCGAATGTTTATTTTTAATTCTAAAAACTTAAACTTAATTATCTTGGAGCAAGAGATAACAATGGAGAACATATGTTACTTTTATGCTATGTTAGATCCCATATTATACAGGTAACGCACCTCTTCTCCATTTCAAAGGTATCTTGAAACAATCAAATACGTTGTTAGTTGGAAACCTTTGAAGGTAAAACAAAGGTACACCATTACTGACGTGATAACTATTAATTAAATGTTAATTACCAGCTGAAATGGTTTGGATTTCTGTACTTAAATAACTAGAATTAATTAGCTTGACTGGGAATTTGGTCCCTAACGCATTGTGCGTGCCTTAAAAGGTGTTGTTTAAGGCAGAATTTATTATGTGTCTCATAATTGCAATGAGCACATTTAAAATCTTTAGAAACTTTATGTTTCGAAACGTGTTGTTTAAAGTAGCGTTTGTTATTTGTCTCATAATCACAATTGGCACATTTCAAATCTTTGAAATCGGTGTGTTTTAAAAGGTGTCGATTAAAATAGTACTTGTTACTAGTCTGGTAGTCACAATTAGCACATTTAAAGTCTTTCGACACTTTATGTTTTAAAAGGTGTTGTTCAAAGTAGCGTTTATTACTAGTCTCGTAATCACAACTAACACATTTATATCCTTTAGAAACTGAATGTTTTAAAACGTGTCGTTTTAAGTACAATTTGTTACTTGTCTTGTAATCACAATTAGAACATTTAAAACATTTAGAAGTGGTATGTTTTAAAAGGTGCCGCTTAAAGTTGTTTTTCTTATATGTCTCGTAATTACATTTAGCACATTTGAAATCTATAGAATCGGTATGTTTTAAAAGGTGCCGTTTATAGTGGTTTTTGTTATATGTCTCGTAATTACACATACCACATTTTAAATCTTTAGAATCGGTATGTTTTAAAAGGTGTTGTTTAAAGTAAGTTTTGTTATGTGTCTCAAAATTGCATTTAACACATTTAAAATCTTTAGAATTGGAATGTATGAAGAGGTGTTGTTTAAAGTAGCATTTGATACTTGTCTCGAAATCACAATGATTACATTTAAATACTTTAGGATCGGTATGTTTTAAAAGGTGTTGTGTAAGGCTAGGTTTGTAATTTGTCTTGAAATCACAAATATCACATTTAAAAACTTTAGAGGCGGTATGTCTTAAAAGGTGTTGTTTAAAAATGGGTTTGTAATTTGTGTCGAAATCACAAATAGCACATTTAAAAACTTTAGAATTGATATGTTTTAAAAGGTGTTGTTTCAAGTGGTATTTGTTATTTGTTCCGTAATCACAATTGCCACATTTAAAATCTTTAGAAGCTTTATGTTTTAAAAGGTGTTGTTTGAAATAGTGTTTGTAATTTGTCTCGAAATCACAAGTTGCACATTTAAAAACTTTAGAATGGGTGTGTTTTAAAAGGTGTTGTTTCAAGTGGTATTTGTTATTTGTTTTGTAATCACAATTACCACATTTAAAATCTTTAGAATCGGTATGTTTTAAAAGGTGTCGTTTAAAGCTGGGTTTGTAATTTGTCTCGAAATAGCAAATAGCACATTTAAAATCCTTAAAATCGGTATGTTTTAAAAGGTGTTTTGTCAAGCAGTATTTGTTATTTGTTTCATAATCGCAATTAGCACATTTAAAAGCTTTAGAATCGGTATGTATTAAAAGGTGTCGTTTAATGCTGGGTTTGTAATTTGTCTCGAAATCACAAATAGCACATTTAAAATCTTTAGAATCGGTATGTTTTAAAACATGTTGTTTAAAGCAGTATGTGTTATTCGTTTCGTAATCACAATTGCCACATTTAAAATCTTTAGAAGCTTTATGTTTTAAAAGGTGTTGTTTGAAATAGTATTTGTAATTTGTCTCGAAATCACAAGTTGCACATTTAAAAACTTTAGAATGGGTATGTTTTAAAAGGTGTTGTTTAAAGCAATATTTGATATTTGTCTGGTAATCACAACTAGAACAATGTAGCACATTACGCTTATGACGTTGAAGTTGTTGTTCCTTCTTTGTTACACAGTTCTGAAACATTATGCTTTAAAAGATGTTGTTTAAATAGTACCTTACTATTCGTTGTGTATTGACCGAAGTGGCATTCGTGTATATTTCAGTTTTAATATTCCAACCACAATCGCCTTCATTATCGAGCGATTTGGAGCACTCTGCAGTAATGGTCATTTCGTCCTTTATTGCAACCAATGCTTCGTTGTTCACTAAAATGTTTCCTACAAGATCCGAATGAATTTCTTCTTCTTGTTTTGGTTCGATTTTAATAAGTGATACATCATTTCCGTTCATATCTAGTACCAGTAACGTACTTTTATATTAAACAAGCTACAACTACAACTTGAACAACTTTCTTACCAGCCAGTCTATTTATAGCTCGTGGTACAGTAAAGCTCTGGGCTGTAGCTCAACTACCCGTATAGGCGAAGTTATTAGTGTCGATCTCCAGTGGCGTATCTATGGGTTTGATTTTATACTGTTTCCAGCAAATTCTGGTTTCTCCTCAATTGCAAGTTCGAGTTTCCCGAGTGCGCCTGGGCGTCGATTCCCGAAGATGTGCTTTGTTCACATCGACTGACCTTGATGTGAACGTGAATGTCACTGCATTCTCGAACCTATCACATCGAGCGAAAAGTTGATCGAACGCAACGACTGGTCAAGACCACTCGTTGCGTGAAAGTCATGCGCAGTTGCAGCTACAGGATGGATCTTGCAGCTGTTTTGCTATAGAGGTGCCCTAACCTATAAATTCACATATTTTCTGTGAAATAAAACATGGAATTGTTCGAGGATTTTCTGGTTATTAATAGCAGTATCCATAATGCAAAAACAAAACAAAATACAAAACTGACAAATGACAGTTCAATTCTTGTCTGTGATTGGTTAGCGCATAAAGTTTGTCCACGATTCGGGAATGCAGCTAAACTTGAACTTATCCCTATCGTATACGATCATGACGTCAAGGCAGCCGGTCACATCACATGCACATCACGGAGCATATCGACTAACTTCGGGAATCGATGCCCTGAATATCGCACGACTAGTGTTTTGATGAGATAGAGAATTGTTCTTTGAAAAACTGTAATTCATTTTAAGACTTTCTTTGTGTCGACCATCTGCGCGTGGGGTAAACGTAAAAAACGGACTTGGTTGAATGTCGTTTTGTACACAGAAGTGCGCGCGCCGAAAAGAATTAAAAAGAAAAAAAATCTCTGCATGACCCTCGGCGGTAAAACAAAAAACTATTGTAATAAACAATGTATGACAGCGAAAATAAAGAACTAAGCTAATAAGAAATCCACTACAGAAATTATCTTACATCTTAAACTAGTGGATTGCAATATGGCGTGAGTATACTACATTTAAATTACGAGCGAAAAGAATTTAAATACGAATCGAATCAATTGGTGAGAAAATACCGTTACGTATTCTCAAAGTTCGTAAATTTGGATGATGTACAAAAAATGCCTATTAACTAAGTTAATTAAACGCAAATTAAAACACAAATGTAAAACACGCAACACTGGATTAATATTAGAGAGTGTATGGGCGTAGTCTAAGTAGTAGGAGCCCCCAAATCAGGCTCAGTTTCCACATAATGGCATTGGTGCATCGTAACTCCCCCGAACTCTGACCACATATGCACAGACTGAACTGAAGTATATATTAAAAAATAGGCGGCCGCCCGTAAGTATGACGGTCCTCGGTTGCGGATGCTACGCGACTAAAGTTGACTGGTAGAGTTTTATTGATTTGAGTTTATTACACGAAAATGTTTATTTTTAATTCTAATTTCTCCTAACAGTTAAAGTAGAAAATTTAAAAACAAATCTTGGCGCAAGAGATAAAAATGGATAACATATGATGAACAATCAAATATGTTGTAAACTAGAAAAAGTTACAAATATGAAGAATCTCGTTTTTGTTACATTAAAATAATTAAGCGGTTTAATTAACCAGCTGAAATAGTTTGGATTTCAGCAGTTCATGTTACTTCAAAATCTAAAAATCAGGGACCTCACAAATTACAATATGAACGGGAAATTTGTTACTTGTACAAACGATTTGTATGCGTTAAAAGGTGTCGTTTAAGACAGCATTTGTCATGTGTCTCATATTCGCAATGAGCACATTTAAAATCTTTAGTAACTTTATGTTTTAAAAGGTGTAGTTTAAAGTAGCGTTTGTTATTTGTGTCGTACCCACAATTCGCACATTTAAAAGCTTTAAAGTCGGTATGTTTTAGAAGGTGTTCTTTAAAGTTGTGTTTGTAAAATGTCTTGAAATCACAAACAGTACATTTAAAATCATTAGAATCGGTATGTTTTAAAAGATGTCGTTTTAAGTAGTGTTTGTTACTCGTCTTGTAATCACAATTAGTACATTTAAATACATTGGAAGCTGTATGAATTAGAAGGTGTCGTTGAAAGTTGTTTTTGAAATGTGTCTCGTAATTACATTTAGCACATCGAAAATCTTTATAATCGGTATGTTTTAAAAGGTGCTGTTTAAAGTTGTGTTTGATATGTGTCTCGTAATTACATTTAGCACATTTAAAATCTTTAGAATCAGTATGTTTTAAACGGTGTTGTTTGAGGTAGTATTTGTTAGTTGTATTGTAATCACAATGAGCACATTTGAAATCTTCAGAATTAGTATGTTTTAAGAGGTGCCGTTTAAAGTGGTATTTGTTATTTGTCTTGAAATCACAATGAGCACATTTGAAATCTTCAGAATCCATATGTTTTAAAAGGTGTTGTTTAAATCCGAGTTTGTAATTGGTCTCGAAATCACAAATAGGACATTTAAAAGCTTTAGAATCGATATGTTTTAAAAGGTGCTGATCAAAGCTGTGTTTGTAATTTGTCTCAAAATCACAAATAGCACATTTTAAAACGGCATGTTTTAAAAGGTGTTGTTCAAAGCTGGGTTTGTAATTTGTCTTGAAATCACAAGTAGCACATTTAAAAACGTTATAATGGGTATTTGAAAGGTGTCGTTTCAAGTGGTATTTGTTATTTGTTACATAATCACAATTAGCACATCGAAAATCTTTAGAATCGGTATGTTTTAAAAGGTGTCGTGTCAAGCTGCGTTTGTAATTTGTCCCGAAATCACAAATAGCACATTTGAAGTCTTTAGAATCGGTATGTGTTAAAAGGTGTTTTTTAAAGCAGTCTTTGTTATTTGTTGCGTAATTACAATTAGCACATTTAAAATGTTTAAAATTGGCATGTATTAAAAGATGTCGTTTAATGCTGGGTTTGTGATTTGTACCGAAATTACAAATAGCACATTTAAAATCTTTAGAATTGGAATGTTTTAAAAGGTGTTGCTTAAAGCAGTATTTGACATTTGTCTTGTAATCACAATTAGTACATTGTAGCACATTACGTTTGCGTGTTAAGATACGCCGTTGTTTCTTCTTTGTTGCACAGTTCTGAAACATTATGCTTTAAAAGTTGTTGTTCAACTTGGACCCTTACTCTTTGTTGTGTGTTGGCCGAAGTTACATTCAAATTACAAATTTGACTTTTAATATTCCAACCACAATCAGTGTGTTGTTCTACTTCTTCATTATCGAGCGATTTGGAGCACTGTGCAGTGATAGTAATTTCGTCCTTTACTGCAACCAATGCTTCGTTGCTTACTAAAATGTTATCTTGAAGATCAGAATGGATTTCTTGTTCTTGTTCGATTTTAATGAATGGTACATCATTTTCGTCCATATCTAGCCTCAATAGCTTTATCAACAAACGTGTTACAATTAAATATGTTTTAGTTTATCAAAAATAAACTTTTGTATCAAGCGCTACAAATTTCTTACCATTCACAACCAATACTTCTAATTCTAGATGCAGAATACTGTTCTGTGAAGAAAGCACCGGCAAGATATGGGCCAAAGTCCAGTTTCATTAGCGTGCCACTCCAGTGGCGTATCGATGGGCTTTATTTTATACTGTATTCCCGAATTAAGTTCGCCTTCAGCGAGTACATTGATATTTAGTATTGTCAAATTTCAAGTTTTGTGCCAATTTTGTGCTGTACGTAACAAAAGGTAATTGAAATTATTCGCTTTATTGTAAATCGTATTGCTTTCAGCTGCTCGTAGTAATGGAATGAATGGAAACGGTTTACGAGAGCCCCATAGTGAGAATGAAAAAAAAACCTCACCCTGAATATTGATTTTATTAGGTTCCACAACTCACAAATAAGCAAATTTTATACAGCCCATTATGTATGGAATATGTAGATATCTCGATAAACATTGAATGTATACAACATTTTTACTTCACATAAAAACACTTTTATTGCCATCAAAATGCTTACATTTCCAAGCATTTATATTTATAAGTCAAGCATGTTTGTCCATAAAAATCCTAAATACTTTACCCAATTGAATGCTAATCATGACTATAAGACAAGAAACTCTGATATCCTCACTATTCCCGTTCACCGTACGACCAAATTCGAAAAAGGACCATTGTACAATTGCATAAAAATATATAATTCCCTTCCATCTACTATTAAAAATTTGAAAAGCGACATGGCATTTAAAACGGCACTAAAAAGTTTTTTAGTGCACAATTGTTTCTATAAAACAAGCGATTTGTATACACTGTGATTTATATTGACCAACTGTGATACGACATATTTTTAATGTGTTTTTTAATGTGTTTTTTAACGTGTTTTTTAATGTGTTTTTGTTAATATTAGTGACTATGTCTATGTCAATGTATATTGATCACAGGCAATAAATATATTATTATGGTCGGTGTTTCTTGTGAGAACTCAGGTCTAGCCTGGTTAACTAATCGCACGGATTAAAATCAAGTAACGATTAGTGTCTGTGTCTGTGTCTGGTGAAGTTATGTAGGGTCCTTAAAAAAAAAAAATAAAAATAAAAAAAATAAAAAAAATCACACACGTACATTGGACATCTAGGGATAATGTAATTCGTACTTACCAACATACCTATTGATGGGCACAATAGCCAACGCTATCAGGAAAGAGGAAAACAAAACAAAACAAAAAAAAATCATTATAATAATTCCTGTAATTTTATTAAATGGAGTTTATTGTGTAAGTGTTTCTTTGGCTTTGCGTTTGGGTTGAATACGAGTGGGTTGTGATAACGTGGTGTGCTTCTGTGAAGAAGGAGTTTTGTGTTTTTTAATTGTATTTATGGTGTTTCTTTGTTCCTGAGGTCGTATTTGTGAGGTTGCTTGGGTTTTTGGTGGAGATATTGCAGTATTTTGTGAGCCTGTGGTGCTGTTAAGGTTTTTGCGTTTCGGTTGTATACGAGTGGGTTGTTTCTGAGAAGAAGGAGTATTGTGTTTTTTAACTGTGCTAGGGCGTGTAACTTTATTGGATGGACCTGTCTTTGTAGTACATGTTGCGTTACTTGTGTTTATGGTGTTTCTTTGTTCTTGAGGTTGTATTTGTGAGGTTGCTTGGGTTATTGATGGAGATATTACAGTATTTTGTGAGCTAGTAGTGCTGTATAGGTTTTTGCGTTTGGGTTGAATACGAGTGGGTTGTGATAACGTGGTGTGCTTCGGTGAAGAAGGAGTTATGTGTTTTTTAATTGTGCTAGGGCGTGTAATTTTATTGGGTGGACCTGTCTTTGTAGTGCATGTTGCGTTACTTGTATTTATGATGTTTCTTTGTTCTTGAGGTTGTATTTGTGAAGTTGCTTGGGTTTTTGGTGGAGATATTTTAGTATGTTGTGAGCCTGTAGTTCTGTTAAGGTTTTTGCGTTGCGGTTGAATACGAGTGGGTTGTGAAAATGTGGTGTGTTTCTGTGAAGAAGGAGTTTTGTGTTTTTTAACTGTGCTAGGGCGTGTAACTTTATTGGATGGACCTGTCTTTGTAGTACATGTTGCGTTACTTGTATTTATGGTGTTTCTTTGTTCTTGAGGTTGTATTTGAGAGGTTGCTTGGGTTTTTGCTGGAGATATTTTAGTATGTTGTGAGCCTGTAGTTCTGTTAAGGTTTTCGCGTTTCGGTTGAATACGAGTGGGTTGTGATAATGTGGTGTGCTTCTGTGAAGAAGGAGTTTTGTGTTTTTTAAATGTGCTAGGGCGTGTAACTTTATTGGATGGACCTGTCTTTGTAGTGTATGTTGCGTTACTTGTATTTATGGTGTTTCTTTGTTCTTGAAGTTGTATTTCTGTTGTTGCATGGGTTATTGGTGGAGACATTACAGTATTTTGTGAGCCTGTAGTGCTGTTAAGGTTGTTGCGTTTGGGTTGATTACGAGTGGGTTGTGTTTGTGATACCGTGGTGTGTTTCTGAGAAGAAAGAGTATTGTGTTTTTTAGCTGTGCTAGGCCGTGTGGGTGAGGGCGTCTTTGTAGTGCGTGTTGCGTTACTTGTATTTATTGCGTTTGTTTGTTCAGGAAGTTGTGTTTGTGTGGTTGGTTGAGTTAAGAGTGGAGATATTACAGTATGTTGTGTGTCATGTTGTGAGTCTAAAGTGCTGTTTAGGCTTTTGCGTTTGGGTTGAATACTAATGGGTGGTGATAATGTGGTTTGCTTCAGAGGTGAATCTCTGATTGTAGTATATGTTGTATCATTTGTTGTACCTACTTGTTTGTTCGGTAAGTTGTATTTGTGTGTTTGTTTGGGTTAGAGGTGGAGATATTACAGTATGTTGTGTACCGTGTTGTGAGCGAGTACTGTTGTTTACATGTATACGCTGTGGATCATTTCTGTATGTAGTATCTTGTGTTATGTTTAGAAATTTACGAACAATATGGCATGTGTTGATAATGACTGCTTTTTGTAAATGTTTGTATGTGTTTTTGTCTAAACCCAATAGTTGTAAATTGTGGTGTATTGTCTTTGGTATAACTCCAGTAGCACTAAGAATAATGGGAACTATAACAGTAGATTTCATTCTCCATTGCGTCTTAAGCTCGATAGCTATATCGGTGAATTTGCGGTGTTTTTCTGCATGTGTTTTAGTTAAGTTGTTAGTGTTGGGGATGGCAATGTCTATAATACAAATGGATTTTTGTGTTTTATCTATAAGTGTAATGTCTGGTCTATTATTGTGGATAGTTTTGTCTGTGAGTAGTGTCCTGTCCCAATATAATTTGTGTGTGTTGTTTTCGATTATTATTATTATTATTATTATTATTATTATATATGAAAGTTGTTTAACATTTTATTTCCCATAATAAGGCAGATTTCAGTTGTTTTTATTTCAGAAAACAAATGAGTGACGAAAAACAATTGAGTGACGAAAAACAATTGAATTTTTTTTAATGGCAGTGCACCTTTCCATTAGGCTTATTTGATCGAGATTTTTTTTCACTTCTCGACGATGTAACATGTTAGTACTCTAATACAAGAAAATTTTTCAAAAAAGCTTATAATCACATCAATAACATTAATCTAGATGTCCTACATCAGAATAAACAAATGAATGTGTACGTTTGTTACCATTTTATTGCTAATTTAATTTTGTCTTCAAGGTTTAATATGAAACGTAGTACGTACACGTTCATTTGTTTTATTTCAGATGTAGGATATCTAAATTAATGTTACTGATGTGATTATAATTTTTTTTAAATACATTTCTTGTGTTAGGGTACTAACATGTTAAGGCCGTATTAGACGATGCAATTTTTATTGCAATCCTTGCAGCAACTATTGCTGCTATTATTGCAGCAATTATTGCAAAAAGATCCAATGATTACACTATGCAATTTATTTGGCAATTTTTTTATACCCAATTCTAATCATGTATTGGTGCCAATTAAAGTGGAATTGGCATCACTGGGAAATACTTGAAAGCAACTTCACGTCTGTTGTAGACCAGGAAACGTGTGTTTTGTGACGTTTCCTTTGTTGAAGGCCGTGCAATTTATTATTTATATTTGCACGCACTTATTCACACTCATGGCCGTTTCCACCGACAAATTTAAGTGGAGCTTAGTTTAAGCGTAGCTTAAAATCCATGGCAACGATTATTGAGACAATGGTTGCCATGGATTTTAAGCTACGCTTAAGCTAAGCCCGGCTTAAATATGTCGGTGTAAACGGCCATCAGGTTCGTTAAATTCATTGAGTAGGTTTAGGTTTCCCTTTGTGAAATCGTTATTGACAAGCCACTGCCTGGTCCAAAAATGTCGTCGTCTTCTTTGTTTCTTTTTTTTTAAAAGAGCAACAGCAGACGCAATAACTAAAGATGCGGCAGCAAATGTAACACCAAGTCATGTTCACCGGGAGAAGACGCTATCCATAACCAGATGCTTCGCCACTGTAGTTCTGAAATGAAAAATACCATCTTAAGATCCTTCAACAACTGCTGGAATGATTCTACCTACCCCTCAGAATGGAAGCAAGCCATCGTAATTCCTATACCGAAACCAGGAAAAGATCCGTTGCAGGCACAAAGTTATCGCCCAATTAGTTTGACATCTTGCTTGGGAAAACTGCTAGAAAAAATGGTTAATGTGCGGCTACAAACATTTCTCGAAAGCAATAACGCATACGTGCCTTACCAAACTGGTTTTCGGAAAGGACGGTCAACGGTAGACCATCTGGTCAAACTGACAGACAGAATTCTGAGGGCATTTGACAGTGGTGAACATCTGGTTGCGGTCTTCTTCGATATAAAAGGTGCTTATGACATGACTTGGAGATATGGAATAATGCAAAATATGTATAAATACAATCTTCGAGGGAATTTACCTAAATTTATAAAATCCTTTTTAGAGGATAGGAAGTTCTGTGTAAGAATCGGCGATATCAACTCCAAAGAGTATGTTTTAGAAAATGGTGTGCCGCAGGGGTCAACACTCAGTTGTTCCCTGTTCGGCATCGCCATAAATGAAATAGCCAAATGTGTTGAGGAGTCAATTGATAAATGCTTATACGTAGACGATTTAATGGTTTGTTGTTCTGGTAAGACGGTTGGCACAATAACTCGAAACCTACAAACGGCAATTAACATCATTTGTCATAACGCCATTGCTGTCGGGTACGTGCTGTCGGAGGAG